GCTGCGTTTGTGACAGGTGCCTTTGGAAAAGTAGCAGCTTGGTCTCAAAGGCTTTGATATGTGAATACAGTTGGCTTACCACTGCATTTTGCCCGAAGGCTCATGTTCAGCACGTTCAGATGCTGTGTTATGTCAACTAAAAATCCAAAATCAGCCAGCCAAACAGGATCAGATAGCTCTGGCATCGGTTGTCCCTTTTTGCCAAGAATTGTCCGATTTCCTCCCTAAGAGAGTAGAAGCGCTGCAGTGCAGACCCCCGACTGAGCCATCTTACCTCGTTGTGATACACAACATCTCCGTATTCAGCCTGGATGTCGAGTAGAAACTGTTGAAACTGGTGGTGGCACAGCGCTTTGGAGCGAATATAATAGCCTTCATCACCGGTTTCATAACATGATCATATTTCAGATGTTTGGCACAGAGAATTTGTTGGTAAATAATACAGTGGAGTTTTATAGCTTTGCCTCCTTCTTCACTGACTTTGTTACAGACTAGGGTTGATAATCCACTTTGCTCACCAGCCATGGCAGGTGCGCAATCTGTAATAATCCCAGTGACTTTATTCCACAGTAGTTTCATGTCATCTACGGTGGAACAAACAGAAACAAATAAACTGTTCCTCTTGTTTGGTCCTTAAGGCTCTGGAGGTCAAGTAGCTCTTCACTCACGTTCATGTCATTGTCCACTCCTCTCAAAAAAATCAATAACTGAGTGGTGTCAGATGCATCCGTGCTTTCGTCGCAGGCTAACGAAAAAAAGTCAAACACCACTTCTTTTGCCTCTGTCTCTTAATATCAGATGAAATGTCTTCAATTCTCCATACCACAGTGTAACGAGCCAGGCAAACATTGGCAAACTCTTGCTTCTTCTCAGGACAAATTTTCTCCACCATTTTCATCACGCAGTCTTTAATAAAGTCACCCTCAGTAAAAGGTTTGCAGTGCTTGGCAATCAGCGTTGCCACCTCGTAGCTCGCCTTTGTGGCATTTTCATTTGACTCATGGGCTCTTATGAAAAAGCGCTGCTGTGCCGTTAAAGCAGCTTCCAGTTCCTTCAATTTTTCGCCGCATTTGTTCCCAGTTAGCTTGTTGTAGTCAGCATGTTTCATCTGGTAGTGCCTCTTGATATTGAATTCCTTGAAAACAGCCACAGTCTCTTGGCAAATTAGGCGGACACAGTTGTTTCGTATTTCAGTGAAAAAATACTCCAATTTCCACTTGTTCTGGAAGCGGTGGCCCTCGCTGTCAACTTTCCTTTTTTTAGTTACAGTCGCCATTTCAGAAATGGGCACACAAGCCTTGTGTCATAAGGGTCACGCGGGAGAGTGCTGACTCAGGTCTACTGCCATCTTCTGGTGAAATATAACCACCAGCCTTGAAGGAGCAGGAGGCAGTAGGGGACAGCTGCGGGAACCGCTGTGTGGTGAAGGGAAAAACGCCGGCCAGCGGGGATGAGTGACAGGCTGAGCTGGCGGGGAGAAGAGGCTGCAGGCCGCCTGAAATTTGAAAATGGGCCGCAATTGGCCCCCAGGCCGGACTTTGGACAGGCCTGGGTTAAACCCAAGTGAGTTTTAATACAACTCAGGAAAAAAAGACTGCAGTGATGATGAGATCTTAAATCCTGGCATATGCATTCATCTGCATCTGCAATCATATGAGGCTGCCCGTAACTCTTCAAACTCAGTGGATTATTGTCATCCTATAGAGAGTGAAAGGAGCGCAGAAGTGAAAGTTGCTTTTGCACTTCATCTACTCTGTAGACGCTTAGCTGATTTTGGTCACATAATGCTACAATCCCTATGGCCGGTAAACACTGTCTGGCCAGCCACAGTTGTCTAAATCTTTTACAGGATGGGAGAATTGCAGAAGCTATCTTTGCCTCCATTCTCCTGCTCCCACTAAGATGCTTGTAATCCTGAGTTTGCAAGGTCATAGGCATTCCTAGTGGAATGTGTCCTAAGTGTTTTGTGGCAGAGAATGGGAAGAGACTAAGGTGCCACCAAAATACTGGGTCTACCTTCCCCACTCAAAAAACTTGGGTCTTCATGGTCATTCCCGTGATCTCAGAGTTGTACCTGGTGCATTTCTTTCCACACTGTCAAGAGGAAGAGGAGGTTTGGAATTCTAGATTCAATCTCAGAGTTCGTGAGACCAGAACTAAGCTAGAGTTTAGCAGTCATATGATTGCACCCTTATAGTGTGGTAAAATGCAGATCTTGAGATGTCGTATTAGGTCACATCATTCAACACAAGGAGATAACCCTGCTCTCTTTCTTAATCTACTCATACAGCTTTACTGTTTTTGTTGTTATCACATCACATTATAACACAGAGAGATTTTGATGAGATTCAAATCAGGCATAGAAAACTAAACTGTTTAAAAAGAACTGTTACAGTACTGTTTACTGGACTATGGTACCTATAGCTGCTCCCTTCCCCCCACCCCACATCAGAGCAAGCAGAAAATGCTCCTTTTTAAATCCCTCTTTAATATAGTATTATACCTGATTAGGATTAAACAGGATTTGAATGAATCAGTACCCAGTCTTTTTCAGTGATTATGTGCCTTTCTTACATCTATATTACCATCTCTCTAAATTCCAGAATAAAATGTCCAAATAAATGTTGGATTCACTATCAAATCTGTGATTTCAATTTGATACAGAATATTCTAACATTAATTTGAGACACTTTGATGTAATATTCTTTGTATTCAGGTTTTTTAAAATGAGATTTAAGCAGCCAGGAATGTAAAGGGGAAAAACCCAATAAATTATTTATATATAAAAAGTATATAAAGTTCAGTGTCTAGAACATGACTCCAGCTTAAGGAAACTAGCCAGTTAAATTATCAATATATACAGTAGATTGTTCCTATCCAAGTGATACATTTAAATATCAAATTTCTCTTCACATATGCTATGCCCATTTTCTTCATAGTCTTCTCTTGTTACCACCATATCTTCAAAATCATCATTTTCAGAAATCAGCTTTCCACCTTCCCAGGAATATGTGATAGGACTGAAAGTACATAAAATAATCTTATATAAAACTACAGTTGATTAAAGTATTTATAACATCAAATAAGAACAGATGGATTCCTACCCAAACTGCTGTTAGAAAATGAATAATCAAAATGCAGAGGAGAACAGTATTTGAAGAACTGAGATGTATCTATAAGTATCTTCAATTGGTACCAAATAAAGTTGCCAGGTTGCTGACAGGGGCCGGCCGTTATTCTCATATAACACTGGTCCTCTATCAGCTTTACTGGCTCCCAGTTGAAGTCCGAACCCAATTCAAGGTGCTGGTACTAACCTACAAAGCGCTAAACGGCTTGGGGCTTGGGACCAGGATACCTGAAGGAACGTCTCTTTCCTTACATGCCCTCACACCCCTTAAGATCGGCAGGGGAGGCCTTGCTCCGGGAACCCTCTGTGAAGGAGGTATGGAGGGAAACTACTCAGAGTAGGGCCTTCTCTGCAGTGGCACCCAGACTCTGGAATATGCTCCCCAGAGAGGTCTGCCTGGACCTGACTCTCTACTCTTTCTGGCACCAGGTAAAATTTTTTACTCATCATTTTAATAATTAAATTAATAATTTTAATAAGGAATTAATAACATTTTACAGTCACATTTTCTTTTTCTTCTTTTCCTTTATTTCCTTTTAATCCTGAACAATTGTTATTATTGAATATTTAATGATTATTGAATATTTTAATTGTATTTTATATGTTTATTTAATTGTTGTAAGCCATCCTGAGGCTATGCAAAGGATGGGATAGAAATGTTTTAAATAAATAAGTGAAAGATTACTTACTTCTCTGGCAGAACTACAGAAACATCATAATCTGTTGGAGTGAGGCATCGAACTTCAGAGTACACACGATCCCTGAAGCCAGGAAAGTGAGTGTTTCCCCCAGTCAAAACAATATTCTTGAAAAAGTGAGGCTGCATTTCTGTAGAGAAGGCCAGTAGACACAATGCAGTATTCTGCAATAACTTTTCATAATAAGATTTTTAGCTTTTTATAAGTTTTTAAATAAGAGGCAGAAAAATATTGATGTGTGGAAAAAGTGAAATGGCACATTACTGACTTTCAAAGCCTGCCAAGTCATTTGTCCAGGGCAGGTGGGAAGGGGTGTGTGTGTGGGGGGGGAGAGGGGGGGGAGGCTAGGCGCTTCTCTTCTTCTTCTAAGTTTCCCCACTAGAAGCAATAGGGAAGAATTACAACTTCAAACTGGTATCACTGACGCACGAGTCTGGTGCTTCTCAGAATGGCAAAGGGGCTTTGGGACTAAGGCTACACCTTTTGGGGAGTTGTCACTAGAAGGAGCTCCTCTGATGAGTCTATGCCCTGGATATTTTCTGGAGTCTTAGCAAGAGCCTGTCTAGCAGACATGCCCCAGGTACTAACGTAACTCTTTTCCATCCAATCAGAATCTCCACTGAATAACCAAGTGATGATAGTTAGGATTATGTTCTTATACTGGAATGCGAAGTACTTATAATGGAGGTAACATAATCCCCAGTCACATAGTGAAATATTATACCAAAATAAATGAAAGTCCACTGTAAGAGTGAGTGGTTAAAGTAATGCTATGGTTCCCATCCAATTTCTGATGCATTTAGAGTGCCTGAAATTAGCAGTATGGGTACCATACAGGTAGTGGGCACTTTAACAATAGTACTATGTCAAGAGATAATGGTGTTTTTCCTTATGATGCAAATATAATTCTATTTTAACTAGTTATTTACACAGGTTTTTAAAAAAATGGTTCTTATTAGATTTGTTATTCCATGTCCAAACTGGAGTTCTTGCATGTAAGGATCACTTCAGTTTAGAAAATAAAAATGTTATCATGGGTTATAAAAGTTTTTAATCTGCCACACACGTTTTACATCTGTGATGTTATATAAATAATGAGACCAGAAATATTAAAATATTGCAGAAAAAGCTTTGTTGCAAAACACAACAGCATAGTGCAACAAGTTCCTGTCTTAGGTTTTCGGGTACACCACATGGTTTTTAATAAAACTACCTTCTGGCAAATTCTGAATTGAATCAACAATGGCTTCAGGAATTCCCATTTCTTGAATGCCAATATCAGAAGGATGGAAGAGTATCTCTGGAACTGCAAATCGCTCATTTGTAAGACGAAGTATTTGTTCACCAGTTTTGTATTTTCCACTTAAGACCATTTCTTCTCTTGGCTAAATCAAACAGATTTGAATTAAAAAAAAAACATACAATTACTCCATCCTTTCTTCATTTGTGTATTGTTCAGTTGCTATGTTTATATGATCTTACCTACTGCACCATATTATTTCCCATACAGTAGGTGGGACCTAAGAAATAAAGTCTTTTCAGCATGACTAAAGGAACTTTTGGGCTTGTGTTTCTTCAGCAGCAGCCCACTATGCCAGAAGATAAGCCATTTTTGAAACTGATGACACTGGCAACAACACTTTCTAAGTAGCATGGTACTGTAAGCTGTAGTAGGGAATCTCTTGTTTAAAAAATCCTACTTGACACCTCCAAGTTCAGCCACTCATCTGTTAGCTCTGGCTAGATAGAGAGCAGGCAGCTGTTTCTGATGAATGAAGTGAGGGGATCTTGCCCATGACACAGGTGAACTTCTGGAACATCTTTCCAGTCCCCTCAATGTGTGGCTCCAAGAAAGGACCCATCAACACTTTCTCGTGCTGACACACCTCTCCAAGGGATGGGTGGCAGGAGTGATGAGTGGAAGGTCTTAGGAGTTAGCAATGATGGACCTTTCTGAGTCAGTGGGCCCTTGGCAGCTGCCCAGTCTTACAACCTCAGCCTGAAAACAGATACTGAAAATATAACATTTTTCTCTAGATTAATGAAATAGACAAGGTTATATTTTTTTGCTGGAGAGGGAGCATGCACTGTGCTAAGGCAGGCACAATATTTCAGAATAGTTTTTCCTTCCATTGGCATAAAAGAATTAACCTTCATGCCAGGGCTAGGATGCCTGTGGCTCTCCAGATGTTGCTGGATGCCAACCTGTGATTTTTGACCATGCTGACTGTGGGGTTGATAGGAACTGAGACACCCTCAGTGAAAATACTTTCTTACCACCATTGCTACCAGCTGCTATAGCACCTTCTCAAATGCTTTCACTTGGCTGACAAAGCCAGTGGCATCTACTACACCTCCACACCAGCACCACTGTCTGGGTAAGACAAAGAAGCAGAGGAACAAGCAGAATGCACTTGTGAAGAGGAAGAACAACTCTTGTCAGCAGGCAATTGCTGAAGTGTGGGCCTTCAACAAGTGTCCAATAATCACTATCCTTGATGCCAGCCCAGTATGTAAAAAAACTGGCACGTAACTTCTTTGCATTTGAAAAATGTGGAAAGTAAATAAAGATGGCGGAATTCAATTCCTCTCTTAATACCTTAAGCTAACACAAGTGATTATGATATTTTTACACAATTACCTTACAAAATCCTTTTTTGATTGTGCTGAAGTCTGGTAAAACATAGTCCAACATTACAGTATTTTCTTCCCCTTTCAATCTAGAACAGATTGTTGGAATTCAGAATGCATCATGAAGTTAATCTTTTCTCAAAACTTTCCAAAAATAGTAGATCCTGCTGCAACTACTATTCATTTCCTTAATAGGATCCAACTTTCTCAAATGGCCTTCGAAAATGAGGATTAGGCAATTGATAGTAAAGGAAAACATTGCACAGGATGACCCGTTCTTCATCAGTGTCATTCTCCTGACACATCCATCATAATTTACTTAGCAGTGTAGAATGTTCAGTGCATACAGGTACTGAAGCTTAGAGTCTGAGGATGCTTTGAAAAACTAAACAAGAACCATTGCAGATACTTCAGTAAGTGGTTGACCATAGAATGAAATGCCTGAAACTCAACTCAGGATTAGATGTCCTAACCAACATCTTTATGAGCACCAAAGTGAAAAAGCCCAAGCACTTATTCTGTGATTTAAATGTTAGATTACATCAGGGTAGTTTTGTTTTAAATCACTGGTCAGCAAGAGGATGTGGACAAGGTGGTTGGACAAGTCTGACCCACCACCTGTTTACTTGACCCTTGCTTTTCATGGCTGCTCATCAGGGCCAAGAACGGGATGTCCACCTGGGTCCAGGAAGTAGTTAATGCCTCTCTAAGGGAGGATCGAGACCCCACAACCTTGGAGGAGGAGGTGATCAGATCCATCCTGAAGAGAGCGAACCTGGACCCAGAGTTCACCACCAATTATAGACCGTTCATTCCATTCTTGGGTAAGGTGCCTGAATGGGTGGTGGCCAGGCAACGCCAAACTCTCTTGGAGGAAACTGATCAGGTGGACCCATTTCAGTATGGATTCAGACCTGTCTATGGGAATGAAACTGCCTTGGTCACCCTGTATGATGACCTGTGCAGGGAGAGGGACATGGGGTGTGTGTCTCTGTTTGTTCTCCTGGACCTTGCAGTGGCTTTTGATACCATCAACCATGGTATCCTTCTGAATAGGCTGGCTGAGTTGAGGGTCCGAGACAGTGTTTTGCAGTGGTTCCACTCCTACTTGGCAGGCTGATTTCAGAAGGTGGTGCTGGGGGATTATGGCTCTGCGCCATGACAGTTATGCCATGGAGTTCTGTAGGGTTCCATTTTATCCCCCATGCAGTTTAACATGTACATGAAACTGCTGGGAGAGGGCATTTGGTGGTTTGGGCTGAGGTGTCATCAGTACTCTGATGACACCCTGCTCTGCCTCTGTTTTAATCTGATCCAGGTGAGACAGTGGCTGTTCTTAGTGTCTGGCTGGAGTGATGGACTGGATGAGGACCAATAAATTGAGACTTAATCCAGATTAGATGGAGGACCTGTTGATAGATGGTTCAACTCCCCATGTAAGTGATCTTTGCCCTGTTCTGAATGGGGAAGCACTCCCCCTAAAGAACAATGTGTATAGTCTGGGAATGCTGCTCGACCCCGAGTTATCCTTGGAGTTCCAGGTGACTTCTGTTATGAGGAGCGCTTTCCTTCAGATTTGGCTGATCCATCAACTGCACTCTTACTTGGATAAGCAAGCCTAGCAATGGTGACACATGCTCTGGAGACCTCCCAGTTGGACTATTGTAACGCACTCTGTGTGGGTCTGCCCTTGAAGATGGTTCAGATACTTCAGTTGGTTCAGAACAGAGCAGCCAGGTTGCTAGCAGGGACTGGCAAATATACATACATAACGCCAATCCTGTACCATCTGCACTGGCTTCCAATTGAAGTACGGACCCAATTTAAGGTGCTAGTGATGACCTATAAATCCCTAAATGGCTTAGGACCTGGATATTTGAAAGAGCACCTCCTTCTATATATACCTGCCCAGACTCTAAGATTTGAAGCAGAAGGCCTTCTTCAGAAACCCTCTTTGAAGGAGATCAGAACAGTGGCTACTCAGAAAAGGTCCTTCTCTTTGGTGGTGGCCCAACTATGGAATGGGCTCTCCAGAGAGGTGTGCCTGGCACCAACGTTTTTCATATTGGCACCAGGCCAAAACCTTTTTATTTTCCCATTATTTTAAATTTTTGTAGTACAGTAAGATTGAGTTTATATATTATCTGGTTGCTGTATCTTATCTGTTTATTGTATTACTGCCCTGAGACATTGTGAAGACTGGGGTATACAAGCTTTAAAGAACTAAAATAAATAATAATGGTTTTCTACATAATTGGCACACATGCCTGCCTTACCCATAGGTAGAGGAACTTCATTAAAATATTCCCAAGCTGGGTCTCTTTCATAGACTGCTGCCATTCTACTCCAGGGAAAGAATACTATGATAAACCTCAGGCTATACACAAAAAGATCCAAAGGCTTGTGGAGTAGTCTGCTCAAAAGATTTAACTTTCAGTTTTATTGTTTGTCCCTCTTTTCTCAAACTTAGCTTCTTCTGCAGATCTATTCCATTCTCGACAATCTTCTATTCATTGTATTAGCACTTAAGAGGTACTGGGTAGATTCTACGTACATAGATTTGCAAAGGAACAATGGGATTAAGGTCTTTTTCTCAACTCTGTATGTTTATAACATTTTTGCTCTGAAGAAGAGGCATGTAATCTCTGAAGGCACAAATTCACAGTTTTGAGAACTGTAAAAGTAAGATAGAAAAATTGTCCAATACTCTCACACAAAACTCTGGAAAAGCATGGCATTATGAATGGATTAATGGAATTAATTTACCAAAAAATTTAAACATTGTGTGAATACACAGGCTCATGCTACATAATTAAAAATTAACTCTTATTTCATGACGAATAACCTTTGGACTAGAATGGAGCTTAATGGAAAACTATCTTTAGATATTTTTTCTCAAAGCAATCTAAATTTTTAAAAATGTGATTTTCAGGGCTAAGCTTAATGATATTTTATATTTCATGCATTTTTTTCAGGGCTAGGAGCTACATAATACATTCTGCAGGTTTTAAACAAAAAACATAAATTGTACATAGTATTATATAAGTAACATACTTTGCGATCTCCATGTCCTTAAAAAAGTCTTGTGAAACATAACATACATCTTCTTTCACCTGATTAATTACATGGGTCTCATCCATAACATGAAGTTGCCTGTAAAATACCCCCCGCCCCATTAGAAAATGTTAGGTTTAACTTTATCTCATTCTGTCAGTCTATAAAAATGTTAAATGAATATTTATTGTAACTTATATATTATAGTCTGCTACTAAATTATGGAAAAACCCATCTAAGCTTTTAATCCTCTACAAAGGTAAAATTAGAGCAAGAAATGCCTGAGGTTCAAGCTGGATTCTGAAAAGAGGCACTTGAAATCATACTGCAAATAATTATACATTCACTACTGGAGCACACCAAAGAATTTCAGAAGATGATAAGTTTGTGCTTTATAGAGTACAGCAAAACTTTTGACTGGGTGGATCATAAGAAGCTATAGATGGTCCTGAAAGAAATGGATGTAACTAAGCACTTGACTGTCCTGATGTGTAATCTGTATCATGGACAAGAAACTACTGTTAGGACAGAACATGGAAGAACAGAATGGTTTCCTATAGGCAAAGGTACCAGACAAGGGTGTGTTTTATCTTCCTCTCTTTTTAATTTATACGGAATATTTGGCTTGGCCCATCAGTATAAATATTCCTTGTTATCTTGAGCTGTCTGAAGCAGGAGAGTCCAGTAATGGTGTGTGCCAATTTGGCTTTCTGTAGCTGCAATCAATTTTCATCCTTCCTCTCAACTTGGAGCTGGAGAGGAAGCAGGAAGATTGTCACAAAACTGCATGGATGATCTCTACCCATTTCTCTACCTTTGTATCTGAAGAAGGCTGGTTGCAAGTCACACCAGTAGGTAGTGCCACACTTGCCATAGTGAGAATGACAAGTGGATTTATTGAAATGTTAAAATAATATCTTATGACAGCAAGATCTAGATAAAATTGTAATAACCTAATTAGTGTTTTACCTGTAAGAGATAATTTCCTTTAGATGATTGGTTAAGAGTTTGCCTCCAACATTAATCCTAGAATAAGAAAAAACATTGTAAATCTTCATAGTCCCCGGTTGTGGAATACAATCTCCAGAGAGGTTCACCTGGCACCGACACTTTATTCTTTTCAGCGCCTGGCCAAACCCTTTTTAATTTCCCAGTATTTTAAGGCTTAGATTGAGATTTTAGGTGGGTTTTTATCGTATAGAATGGATGCTGTGCTCCACTTTGTTCTATTGTAAGACAGTCCTGAGACCATTTGGTAGTGGATGGTATACAAAAGTTTCAAATATATACATAAATAATTTAAAAAAACATGTCAACCCATTTTTAAAATAAAAAACAAATGTTTTACCTTATAATTGCTTCTTTCTTCTTTTTACTTCTGCAGTAAGGCACAATGTGTGTAAAAGAATACCCACTGTCCACAATGATACAACACAGTTCTGATGGATTATCCCGGAAGTACCTATGGGCACTAAGAGCCCCAGCTGAAATGCAATACCATGCCATACTGTCAGTTAAGTTTAACACAAGAAGTGTCATACTAATTCCATGTTATTTATTTGGTTTATATCCCACCATTTTTCTTTAAAAGAACACAAAGTGGCTTACACCGTCCTCTTCCCCCTGCTCTTAGTCTTATCCCCATAACAGTCCTGTGATGAAGGTTGGGCTAAGACTATGACTAGTCCAAAGTTACCCCACTGGCTCCATGGCTAAGTAGGAACTAGAACCCAGCTCACCTGAGTCACAGTCCCAAAATGCTTTTTTTTTCAGTTGCAAAAACATAATTTTTCCAAAAATAAGTAATGGGGACATAACACTCACCATTTACTCTAAGAACTGCTTGGAACTGGTATTCTTCAAATAATATTTCATTCATAGATTCTTGTATTGAACTGAAGTTGAAATAAGGTTCTGTGATGATGATATTTGTATCAACAAAGTCCACCTGTATCAAAAATGATTTCATGTTTTTAAAACATTGTTTCCAAATCAAGCAATTATGTAAAATGAATTGCTGGCTATTAGTATAGCTAATAGAAGCCACTTATGTAGCACATTACAAAGAGTTCACATATATTATGTCAGTGATTTTTATAACATCCTTGTAAGATAGCCAAGACTGTTGCCCAATTGCAATAGATAAACTGAGTTCTGAGTAGTTTGTCTAAGGTTAAGTTAACATTTGAGGTTGAATCTAACTGTGTTGTCCTGCTGATGAAGCAGTTATGTCAGTAGAATGGAGAGGGAGGATTAGCCTTGTGCCTCTGCAGCTCCCCACATGTCATATTTTTAAGTGGCACAGAAGCTGCAGGGGAGAAAAGGGAGAAAGAATGTTATGAAGTTCTGTTAGCAGGATGTTTGATTTAAACCATGAACTGAAGACTCCCTCTTTATTCACAATGTACACTTATTATATCTTATTAACTCTCAATAGTGTCAGAATATATTGCTACCTGAAACACTGTATGTTTAATTAAACTTGTATAACCTACATGTTATTTATTTAGCATACTGCCCCGTTGCACAATATAATAATAGGAAAATACTTGCTGCCATGTGAAAATAGCTTTACTCCCAAGTTTGGTCAAATGGTCTGCAATTTCTTCTGCAAGCTACAATATCTGGCACATATACCAGGAGTAACATGTAGCCCATATAGCCATGTTCTGAAGTCAGCCACCCCCTCACATAGTAACCAGTGACCTTAATAGATCTGGGACAGGTATGCCAATTAAGATGCATTTATTACTGCTTACTTTGTTTCAAATACATTCAGGCTGACTTACAAAAAAAGTTTAAAAACCAACATTAATTAATGTAGACTTACTGATATGCATGGCAGCACATATTAGGAGACAGTGACCAAAAAAAAAAAAAAAACAGTGAGAAGTGTTGTGTCATGATACATGATGGGGCAAATCAGTTTTACTGAGAAAATACTCAACTCTAAGCAAAACAGATTCACCCCATTCCCAAGCATCCAGATCCTACAAATAAATGTGTAGTTTTATCTGCCGATATTTCATTCTAAGTAGTTAGAATGCCCATGCTGATCAAGTGCACATTTGCAGAAACTGACTCTGTATTCAAGTTCTTCTGACTCTGTATTCAAGATATAGAAAGTGTTTTAATTACCTGATACATTTCTTTTCCAAAAAGGTAGTCCCATACTTGTCTCTGAACATCCCAGTTTACTAAGTAGCCCTGATATTTAAGAGTAACAATATAAAGTTATTGGTTTGAATATCTGATATTTGTAGTTTCACACTATCCTTTAGTCTTTGTTTAATATGCTACCAACAGTAACAAAAATGGAATATCTTCAGTGTGTTTAAATCAATGAAATGGAACTGTTTCCTCCTGTCAAGTGAACAGGGTAGCCCAAATGGAAAAGTGCCATGTCACATAATACTTCAGAAATTCAGATAAAGGTTCAATACTATACATGTTTAAACAGAAAAAAAATCCTAAAGTATTATAATGATTTTTTTACAAAGTTCTGTGCATGCATTACAGCACTGGATTTGACACATGCCTTATTTGGATCCATGTAATTTGCTAAAAATAATTAAAGAACAACTTTCTTTAGTCTGTATTATGGAAACCTTTCAGTTTCTTTATGAAGATGTTTGAAGTCAAAATCTGTGCAGTTCTTAATTATTACTTGCATGAAATCCTATGCACGTCTACACAGTACTTAGTTCCACCAGGTTCAGGCATGTGTGTACAGGTTTGCAGATTACTAAGATGTAACTCAGTAAATAATAATTCCTGTTTGTTATAAAAGGTTCACTTTATAAAAGCAAGGTTTTTTTCTACCTTCTGATTTTATTTCATAACTTTTATTATATTTTGAAAACACTAGCATCTACTCAAACACAAAAATTACCTAATTTTAACCTACATTCTTTGTGTAAAGGCATATCCAATTAAAATAAGTTACCTTTTGGAAAGGGAGAATATAAAAAAGCCCTGATGGATCTTTAATTTCATCCAGTTGGTTAGCTGTAAATGTTTTCAAACGAGCAGTTTTTGAGCGAAACTGACAGTTGGGAATAACACTGTAGGAAGGAAAGAATAGCAGCATTCTGAATACATGTTTAAGAAGTTGCTATTGGAAGGAAAATATTAAGTTCTAAAAATAAATAATGCTGGAATTCTATGCATGCCTAGGCAGAAGCAAATCCCACTGCATTCAATGGGGCTCACTTTCTAGTAAATTGATATAGTATTGTTACTTAAAAGTCTTGCGGCAATTTAAAGATTAACACAATTATTTAGTGTCTTTGTGGACTATAGCAGATTTCACTGGATGCCAAAAGGAGTGTTACCATCCCATGAATCTGATAAATTGAGTTAATATTCTTAAAGTAATTCATTAGTCTTTATGGTACCACAAGACTCTTGTTCTTAAGGACTCTTAAATACTACTCTCCAGAAACCAGTTTACCTTTTTTTTAGTTGCAGCAGTACAGTGTTATGGTGGCAATCTATGCCTAGAAAATGGAGCAGAACTGTCCATCAGTACCCTATTTCTCATTTATATGAATAACAGTCATATAAAATTACAATTAATTATTTTAAAATGAAACTTGGATATTTTATTTTGGCCTTATGCGTAACATTTCTGAGTACTTCCCTTTTTGCAAAGCAAAAAGAATTATCAATATCAAAACAGTCTCAAGAATAATTGTTCTCAAGTTCAACGACATTATCAAAGGACTAAAAGCAATAGATGGCACACTAGGAGATGTCTACTTCCACAGTGTTAACCAAGTAACATAACCAAAGGTATGCCAAAACCAGCACTTTAAATTGCTTGCTACATCATTCAGAAAACAATTCCTGCCTTCATCTTTCATCATGGCTCAACTACTCCATGGTAGCACTAGCCTTGAGTTTCCTCTTCCATACTTTTCCTATAGGAAAAAATTATACAGTAGCCATATTGTAGCCCATCAACCAGAGAACAGAATTCACAGTAGATGAAGGAAAACAGACCAAGAACTTATCAAATGTTTGCCAAACACTAGAAGTACAACTAGTGTTCCTGTAGACTACAAACAACACTAAGTTAAGCCGTAGTTCTGGGCTTTGCAACAATCAGAACTGATCAATGGATCCTACAAGGCTGAAGATGTGCATATTTCCAGTTTACTATTTGCCATTTCCCCTTAACTTACAGTTCAATCCCTCAAATTTATAAGAAGGAAGTAAGGGTCACAGGATGTTCAGTGAGGGTTATTTATTCATGTTATTAGATTTTTATCCTACCCCATTAGTCATAAGGCTTCCTTTTATATAAGGATATGTGTGCGCCTTTATATAAGGGTAAGGAATTCCCAGGCTATCATACATAGGATTCCAGTCTTAAAAGTAGACAGGAACCTTGAATCAGGTTTTGAATTTTAAATATATGTAATAATGCAATTTATTTATTTATTTGGACAACTTGTATGCCACCCCATTCGCATAAGTCTCGGGGCGGCTTCCAATACATAAATAAATATATTTCTAAACAAAAAGCAATCTATGTGAAGTGCTCCAAATGCTTATTCTTGATGTCTGCACCCAAATAATATATTCAGATGTGCGCTGCTGTTGATATGAATTGCTGGTTGTAGAAGTGAATTGGGTTGAAAAATATATGATGTGGCTGAAATATTGAAATTTACATTTCTGTTCCGTGAAAAGGAAATAACTATCTTTCACTTCTTACTGGGGTGGGGAAATTGTACCCCAGATCTCTCAGAATCTTCCATATTCCTACACAAGGCTTCTCTAGTTAAACGTATTAAAGTTACATTCTTTCATTGGACTTTGTTTATAACGCACAACAATGATTTATGTTTTTCTGCAATAAACTAACCACTTCAACACTGAACAGCTAACTGTGCGGAGGCGTGCAGTTTCTGTGCATTTCTTATCATTTACTGATCCAGAACTACCATAGGTACCCCAGTTGCCTGTTCCAAAATAATCTATTAAGTTGCACCCAGACATCAAGTTCCCTCAACAGCTGATTCAGAGAGAAAGAGGTTTCCTACCTGACATTAGCATGACTATAGCCGATCTTGGCATTATACGCGCCGTTATCCAGCACGAGAGTGGCCATCTTTGTCCTCCTCCCCCTTGAACTTTCTACTCCGCCCAAACGCTAGGATGCAAGGAATCGCAGTATAAGTAGGAGGGCGGAGTCACCGCTTCTGTCGCTTTGCATGATGGGAGGTCGGCGGACTTTGCTGACAAAACAAAACATAGGAAGAAGACGGCGCCGTTCTTTTCTCGTGTCTGTTTTCCTCTCGTCAGCCAATGGCTCGGATGTAAACACAGCCGGCATAGCCCTTCCGGTTTCCATAGAGGTTTTTTTCCCCTCCCTACGCCGGGACGGAAGTGAAAACTTTTTGTTGAAATTAAAGGTAAAATTGGGGACTAGAGCGTCGCTCGCTCCAGAAGACAGCAGCAATTTGGCAGTTTTTGCTTTTTCGGAATCGGGCCCTCTTTTATGTGAAAATGTTTTTCGGAAGAGATTTCGGGTATTTAGAAGCACAACACAGCTCCGTGTAAGTCAACGGAGCAAAAGATGCCTGTGTTTAAATGAGCGATGGATTTTGGCCGGCAGGGAATCTAAGGGAGCAATTGAAGCAAACTATAGTTACTAGAAAATGTTTTGTTGGGCGGGAGGCTTTTTGGTTGGAAATTCAGTTCAGCCTCAGGTCTAGTCTGCAGCAACCCTGGACTGTATTGTAGTCCTACAGAATGGTGATCCTTCTACCCGAACTTGACCGTCATTCTGTAAGAAAAGTACACAAACACCGGACTACACTGTAGGTATGACCAACACACACACCTCCAGTAGGGGGATAATTTCTTCTTACTATACTTAGATGGATTAAATATTTCAGTCAGAATAACTGAGGTAAAGCAGAAATATTTCTTGTCTGCTGGTACTTTCTGCTTCAGGCAAATCATGGATAATTGATTTCGGATATTATGGATTATTTGATTTTTCCACTGGATATTATGGGTTTGTGTGTATGTGCCTATAAGGGCTTCTCATATTAGCATATCTTAGAAATCTATGCAATGTCCTACCTTGCTACTTTTATAGCTCTGTAAATGACAGAAAAAATTACGTTATCCACATGCTTTTACAAGCCACAAGGTAAAAGACCTTCATAAAGAGCAGAGATCCAGAGGCTTTTGCTCTACTGTTTTCAAAATACCTATGACGACTTTTGAGAGATCCCGGTTACAAGCTTGTATCCTTTCATGTAGAATACATTCTGCTGAATTAAATGGGACTGCTGAGTAGACATGTATCAGATTGTACTATGAGACACATGGGGACAACTTTCACAAAAGTTACAATAGATGTATATCTTCTGTAATCGTTCTCTCTCTCCTCTCTCCTTTTTCATCTTTGTAATGTGCAAGTACTTCCATGAAGATGTCTACCTGTGCCTCCTGCAATATAGGGATCATAATTTCACAGCCCCTCATGCCACGATCATCTGCAATATAGTAACAAAAAGACCAGACAATTTTCCTGTTACTGAAGAAAGTATTGGCAGAACGTTAAAAAAAATGCAAGTGTTCCCTCTTCCCCTGCCACACAATATGGTCTGAGCTTGAAAGAAAATGAATTCTTTCATTAAGCTGTGGCCTATGCAGTTGCCAGACCTGCAAAGTTAAGGTCCTCCAAGTGCCTGAATTTTACTGTTCTAATAGGAAAAACATGAAGTAATAACTGTCTAGCAAATTCTATTCTTGTGCCTCTGATCAGGACATGCTGTAGCAATGCCTTATCAGCACAGATTTATAAAAGGGCTTTCATATGCCTATATTATGTGGATGCAGTTCAGGTTCTGTCTACCTCACTTTAAATACATTGTCTTTTCATCAAGTTTAGTCTGCAGTTAATAAATCTTCAAGTGCAGAGCAGTGCTGTACTGGGTTCGTTGTTTTTGGGATATCTGCAGCTCTTGCTGCAAATGCAGTCTCTCCAGGTTATGCTTTGTTACCCAGTGCTAGAATCCCTTAGTTTTTCAAGATTTAACTCATATTTCCCTGAAGCTAAACGAGAATGAAGCCTAGCTCCTTTATATTTTTCCTGCTTGAGAGCTTATTTAAACCTTGTAGCAGTGTCAAAGTCATGTGCTTGTGTTGCAACTTCTGTTGTTTCATGCTGCAGTATATGTTCTATGATGGAATATCAGAGCACTGGAATTACTTAATGCATATGAGGACAGAATGGGATGCTTAAAATAAAAATAAAATAAAAAGCAACTGATGCATTGGAAGTGTTTTCACAGCTGAAATATGAGGAATTTATGTGTATACCCAAATGTATTTGGTACAGATAAGTCTTGAAAGACTAGCATTACTGTAACATAGACTTTTGTGGACTGCAGCTTTCCCATCAGCTAGGTAAATAGGTAAATAAGAAAGTAAAAACATAGGACCAAATAGACATGAAATACATGTACACATATGACTATTCAGTGTAAAGTTAAATCTATCCAAGATATTTACAATTATCATTAAACATCAGTTATAGGTAATAATACAATCTTTCTAGCTTTTGGTAGTAGGAGAGGAAAATGTTATCTTGATTGAGACCTAAGTAATACAATCCAATTTACTAATAGATTTTAGTTCTGAAATGTCTTTTTGAATTTCTTTTGTTGGTGAATGGTGATCAACAGCAGAGGGACTTGGGGAAGGTGAAGTGTTCTGCCACTAGCATTGCTGGTCCAAAATATTTTGGTGTCAAATAGTGTCTGCACATATGCTTGAAGTATCAGGTGTGAAGTGCCTAGCCAACAAAACCAAACACCTTAAAAAGGTGTGAGTAAAAATAAATGAATAAATATATCTTCATCTAACACCAAAAAGCCATCAGGGTTGGTGTCAGATGAGCCTTCCTGAAGAGAAAATTCCATTATTGGGATAATGGAGAGAGAGTTCTAAACCCTATGCTTGCTATTCATCTGCCTCAGCTTACATTGGCAGGAGCACTGAGCAAAAAGCCTCAGAGGAGTATCTTAGCCCTTGACAATGTGAGATCCTAAACATTTAGCACTTGATTGTACAGACATGGAGACAGAGCTGCTGACTGGGTTTGCTGTAGAACCTGGTCTAAAATAGCTATTTTAGATTAGATCAGCACTAAGACTGAAAGCTAATGTGAAAGATGTATAACTGTGCTATTTATATTTTATGATATTGGGGAAATTTCTTCATAATTATGGATTCAACAGTTAAGTTACATTCTACCACATGGTTGCACCCTTACTGTGTTTACTTCTACTAGTAAGAAATTTGTTTCAGCTTTTATCTTGGGTTTTTAAATATGGATCTAAATTCTAAAATAATTTCTTGAAAATCTTAAATGCAAATTAGGTAAATATTGTATGCAGCAATTTCTCTGAATTTTGGCATTCAACTTTTTAATCTCTAGGAAATGTCAGATATCTTTGCATAAACTAAGAATGGAACATAAGGCTCTCTGAGGGTAAACCAATCCTGCTGATATGCTCAGTGTTTGTATCTTAATGACAACAACACTAATCCTTCCGTAAATAGGATACACGTTCTATAATTCCTGAAGGTTAGCTCAAATTGAACTGTTTACAATCAGCAGTTCTTTTTTCAGTTCACATGTTTCCAGTTTAGAATACTATAAAATTCACATGGTTTGATATGACTCTCAAAAAGCAAAATATATTACTTTAAAGTTTAAAGCTTTTAAAAAGCAAACAAACAAAAAGCACCACTCAGACATAAACATGCTGGGGAAAGTCGACTGCAGAAGCAAAAAAGGAAGACCAAGTAAGAGATGGATCGACTCCATAAAGGAAGCCACCCTTTTGAATTTAGAACAGCTGGCCAGGGCTGTCATGAATAGGATATTCTGGATGGTGTTCATTCATAGGGTTAACGTAAATCAGAGACAACTTGATGGCTCATAAAAACAGACATAATCTTATTAAAGTTACTGTCTGGGATCCAAACACTGTACATGCCAAGTGATATTTGTCATTGCATATCTCTAAGATCAGGTCTCATATGGTCAACTGCTTTTTGAAAAAGAGGTTTTTTCAAAATGCATATTTTGATATGTCAAAATGGTTTGCTGTTTAAAGGAGGACTATTTTAAAAATCCCACTGGACATGCCTAAACCTTAAGAGGGCACAAAGTATTTACGTAGATCTTGGCCATTGTTAAAAAGTTAATTGAAAAGCCTTAACAGATTTAAACTTAAGTTCAACCACCATATTTAAGCAATGATAGAAAGGGATTGTAAATGGCTTTAAGAATGTGTTCTGCTTAGATACACAAATTATTTTATCTCAAGGCTTTTAGAGTTTGCTGGAATACAGCCCTTGTTGTGTGTGTTTATTTAGAAGTCTGAATTCAATTTAAAACATTCACAAGCAATTGTGAACAGGACAAATTGGTACTACCTGACTCTTCCAGCTGTGCTTGAACAGCTGCAAACAGTATAATATAAAAAAAACACACTTTCTCTCATGCATCCTCTTTTTGCAGGGATACTGACCTAAAGTGTCACCTCAATACTCCATGCATACCCCGGTGGCTGAAGATCAGTATTTTGTTGTGCCTTATTCACAGAATTTGAGGAGAGGAGAGAGGGAGCGTGTTTCTTAATGTCAGTGTGAACCTTCCTGTCTCTTTCACCTTTTCATTTTTTTTTACGACAACATTGAGTTAAGGATGTCAGTACAGAATAAACGCCTTTTGTTTTGTACTAAGGGCTGTTAATCTGAAAGTCTCCTTGGTGGCTCTCAGGTTCTTGTCAGTCTGCCTTTGGAATGTAAAGCGTTGCTTTTCGATTAACAAAAATATCTGTAGTCCTGTATACCTCAAGTATGTACAAACAACTACCCTATTTTTGGGAAATCTAATTTCCCCCCTAAATTGGTAGGCATGCAAACACCCAACTTTGCTATTAGAGGGAAATTATGATGTGCAGAATAGCTAATACAAGCTCCTTAAATAGTTGATAAGTAGAAGTATACTAGCCTAGGGGCTGGGCTTCTGTGGATCAGAGGGCGAGGCTTCCAGGATGAGCGATTCCCGGCACTTCTCTCTTTGGGGGGAAATTTACCATCCGGTATAAAGGCTGCAATTCTGTAATCGCTTATGTACAGAGCAAGTGCCACCGAACTCAAGCTTACTTCCAGTCAATATATATTAGGATTGCACTGCACCTAGTGTTCCTGCAGTCCTTCATCAGAGGAAAAGGGCGACATCGCCTGCATGCAGCAATCCCAGGGCAGCACTAGGGATGGGGTTCCCGTCGAGCTGCTGCCGGAGACACACAGCACGGGCGGGCGATGCTGCTCTTGCCTGGTGCCGCCCTTCTCCCCGCCCAGCCGAGCGCAAACCTGTCAGATGGCTCTACTGCAATCAAGATGGCGGCGGGGCCGGAGAGCGGGTAGGCGGAGGCGGCGGCTCCATTCCCCAGTCCCGACGGGGGGATGAGACCTGCGCCCAGTCTCTTCTGCTTTCCTTGAGGCGCTAAGGAGCAAACTGCGACCCGTCGGTCATGGCGGGCATTATCAAAAAGCAGATTCTGAAGCACCTTTCCAGGTCAGTGAAGTGGGCGGCGGAGCGCCTTGCCGGGAGGGAAGAAAGGAAGGAGCATGGAGGTTTCTCCGGGCTTGGGAAGGTGACTTGAAAAAGGAGGCTGGAGCGAGGGACGGCGAGTTCGAACCGCCTTACAACGCAGCCGCTCCCTCAAAGTTAGGAGGCAACTGGAGCGGAGCGGAAAGCTTTCTGAGAAGGCTGTCGGACAGCTTAGACGGTCAGTTCGTATGTTTCCGAAGAGTTCTGTTCGAGGGGGATGGCGTAGGCTTGCGCTGTCGCTAGAAAGCCACGGAGAGCAATTCTGGGGTGGGGTGGCGATTGCCCTCCGCAATTCCTGCCGCAAACTAGAATGGGAGCAGTGAGCTTTTTCGCTCTCCTCGCTGTTCCTACCTGTAGAACAGGACAGAGCAAGCTCGGACCCTGATCCCATTCCCTAATCCAGTGGTATTAGACTGTGGTAGCGCTACAGCAATTGACCGCGCGTGTGTGTGTGTGGGGGGGGGGCACAGGCACAGAACCAAAGATGGGAGTGGGTGGATTGTAAATTGTGCTTGACACGTTGTCTGTAGGAGGAGCGAGCGGCCGCTTGGCTGATATCATCGCGCACATAATCTGTTGCAGACAGGTCTGGAGACGTCAGAGTTGTGTGGGGATGACAAATCCTAAAAGAAGCTTGGCAAGTTGTATGTCATGCTTGGAAGGCAAGCTGTCCGCCCAGTACTCTGAGTCGGCATGGCGCTCCCATTGCCAAATGGTAACGCGAAAGGGGGCTATGTTGTGGCTGCTGGCCAAATAAGTAACAGCCTTTTACATTCTTGGAACTTGACTATGAATTGGAAATGACTTATCTTCAATGCAATTCTCGTCAGAGGTTGGCATGCCAGTAGGCACTCAACAGTTGTCTGAGGGACAGAACTGAATGAGGCAGTTTGCCTTGTGTTTCTTAGAAGATTTAGGGGGTAGGATGTGCTATTATTAAATCTGCAACAACATGTGAAAACATCTTTTCAGTTCTAAACATTTCACATTCAAGGATAATGGATCTGTGCTGACAAACTTGACATTTTACATTTTCTATTGTCATCTTGAAGTAGTAAGGTTTTCTGAGTAAACAACCAGTGGCATTGACAGATAAGCTGTTGGCATCTCTACATTAAGTCCCATTAAGCTCAGTGATGTACTTAATATTCCATAACTTTTTATATAATACTTGGTTGGAACATCTTTTGAACCATTTGGTCAAATTCACAGCTTGTAATACTGTTTATTAGGAAATATTAAAAGATATTTCTGGAATATGTAAATTATTTTGTTTATTGTATTTATCTATTGTTTTGGGTCAAGTCATGTAATCTAGGCATGGTTGAAGGGCATATGATACAGCAATTCAACAGGCCTGCCTGAGTGAGAGAGTGCTTGGGAGCACCTTGAGTTCTATCATGGAAGGAGGAAGAATATAAACTTAAGCAAATAATTCCAAATATTTAAACAAGTCTTTTATGGAATTTTTGGTTTCTGTTAACCTGAAGGGATTTCTAGTGAGTTACTCAGCCGGAGAAATAGTTATAGTTGTGGTATCAGATCTGGAAAAAAATTGCACACACACAAACAGAGTAACTGAGGAAGGATTCTTTCACACTTGCATACATGTTGTTTCTTTGGCATGGTAAATCATATTGAAAGTAAATGAGTAAGCATTTGTATCACTTCTTTGGACTTATTGACAGCGGCACTTCCACATGTTGTAATGTACTGTGATAGATGCTGTATCATTCTGTATAACCTACTCGACTTGTGGTACTAAGAAAACTGTTTGTTTGTTTATTACATTTGTATGCTGTCCCATAGCCCAAAAGGCTCTCTGGGTAGCTTACAATAAAAACAACAACAACAAACATATAAAATAATAAATTCCATTAAAATAATACAATCTGACACTCAAGGTGAAAAGGTCACAGCAAAGCACACAGCAATAAAAATTAATGTTAAAAATCAGTTCAGAAACTAAATCACCTGTTAAATTAAAAAGTCTTTACCTGGTGCTGGAAAGAGAACACTGATGGCACCAGGTGCACCTCCTTGGGAAACATATTCCCTTTCTCCTGGCTATTTTCTCCCTCACTTTGTTGGGGGTTGGTTTTCGAAGAAGGACCTCTGTGGAAGTGACTGGGTGGGGATATATGGAAACAGGCATTCCCTGACCTCAAGCCACGCTTGGGGGACAGTGGGACCCCATCCAGGACAGGTAGAAAATTTCCCAGTTGGATGGATGGTCTGCTCATCAACAGCACCTCCATCTTCTCTGGATTGAGAACTTCAGCTTATTGGCTCTCATCCAGTCCATTACTGAGGCTAGGCACTGGTTAAGAATGGTAATTGTGTCAACCTGGATTGATGAAAAAGAGATGTACTGTTGTCATCAGTATATTGATGACACTTAAGCTGGTACCTCTCCTAGCAGTTTCATGTAGATGTTAAAAAGTGTGGGAGATAGGCTGGAGGCCTTCAGAACTCCATAAGTTGCATTGCATTTCTGAACACATGGCTCTCTTTCTGCTTTTAGGAGCAAAGGGGATCACTCAACTGCTCCTTTATTCATATGCTAATCCAGTAGATGGGAGTCAAGTAGACAGTGTTTACTTGGACTTCTAAAAGGCTTTTGACAAAGTCCCTCACCAAAGGTTCCTGAGACAACTAAGCAGCCATGGAATAAAGGGGGGTGTCTTCTTATGGATCACTAACTGGTTAAAAAACAGCAGACAGAGGGTGGGAATAAATGGAAATTTCTCTTAATTGAGAGATGTCACCAGTGGAGGCCCACAGGGTTCTGTATTGGGACCAGTGCTTTTCAACCTGTTCATTAATGATCTGGAATTAGGAATAAGTAGTGAGGTGGCCAAATTGCTGATGACTCAAAATCTTTCAGGGTGGTTAAAACAAAAAGGGATGGTGAGGAGCTCCAAAGAGATCTCCCCAAGCTGGGAGAATGGGTATCAAAATGATAAATGCAGTTCAATAGAAGCAAGTGTAGAATAATGTGTGTTGCGTTGTAATGTGTATTAGGGCAAAAAAACCCAAGTTCAGGTATACACTGATGGGATCCAAACTAGCACTGCACTGACTGAGGAAGAAAGTGATCTTGGGGTAGTGGTGGACAGCTTGATGAAAATAGCTCAGTGCTCTGCTGCTGCAAAGAAGGCAAATTCCAAGCTAGGCATAATTAGGAGTAGACAGGAAAACAGAACTGCCGAAATCTTAGTTCTCTTATACAAATCTTTGGTGCAACTGCACTTGGAAGATTGTGTTCATTTTTGAAAAATAACATTATTGAGCTGGAAAAAGTACAAAGGGGCTGATCAGGGGGCTGGAGCAATTCCCCCATGAGGAGTGACTATGACAACTGGAGCTGATCAGCTTAGAAAAAAGATGAGTAAGAGGAGATATGATAGAGGTGTTAATAATAAAGTGTGGGATGGTGAAAGTAAAGAGGGAAACATTTTTCTTCCTTTCCCATACTGGAACCTGGGGTCATCCCATGAGATATTTAGGAAAGATAAAAGGAAGTACTTCTTCACACAGCATATAGTTAAACTATGAAATTCACTGCCACGGGAAGTGGTGATGGCCACCAAACTGGATGGCTTTAAAAGGGGATTGGACAAATTCATGAGGAGGCTATCACTGGTTATTAACCTTGTTGGCTATATGCTACGACAGATGTGTTTGACTAAATATAGCAAAAAACGTTATAAAAGTCTGTGTAAAAGAACGACAGTGCTTCAGAAGATGATCCCAATTCTAGTCAAGACAAGCAAACTCTTCAGTAGTTGATTATAACCAAACTATTGCAAAATTAATGAACAGCTACAAATGCAAGTGTTTATTGTTGTCAGACTTCCCATAACAAAATATTTGAGGAAATGAACAGGACTGGTATAAAATAGAACTAATTTTGATTGAAAAATTATGGAAAAATTTTACTCTGTGCTTGTGAATATAAAATGTCCTTTCATTCCGTCCTTCCTTCCTTCGAAAAGCATTTGTCCTGTGTTGATGATTGACTAGAATTATTCTTGTTGGCTTTTACTTGTATCAGATAGTCAGAAGATGTGGTTAGATCTGATTCAGGAAGTGCTCAGTACAAAGTGGCTGCCAGAATTAATTTCTTTCCTTTTGAAGAGCATAAAGGAAACAAGAGCAAATAATGCATGTCTATAACTGACAGGAGAATTTATCCATTGTCCCATATTTTATTCTGCAGTGGTCTCTGCTGGAGATTGACTTGGCATTATCATCTTAGCTATAAATAGGTGACCCAAAGGTTTTCCGGAGCCATGACAACTGACCATTTGTTTTCCTCAGGGTTAGGGTGACTTATCTTAATTTCTTTTTTTCAGGTTGTTGCCTTATCAATTACTTAATTCAAATGTTAGGTTTGTGCACAGAAACCAAATGGCAATCTGCCGTTCAACCAGCAAAGCCTCCCCAAATGATCTTAGCATTTGAGCAGATCTTTACTGGGGGAGGCAATTGGTAAGATAACTGGGACCCAAATTATCACTTTATATGCCAATAGCAAGACTTCAGATTTGATTTGGTAGCTGATAGATGTAGTTGCTTCAGTGCTAGTGCAATATATACTCAGTCAGATGACCTTCTTAGCAGCCTGACTACTGCATTCTACATGAGCTATAGGTCCTAGATGAAGCACAAGGAGAGCCCCACATAAAATGCAATACAGTAGTCTAAAAGCAAGGCTACCAACACGTAGACTACAGTGATCAGGCTAGAAAGACATACAGCTGAAACCAGTAATAGGCATACCTTGCTACAGAAGTCACTTGGGCTCCTAATGATGATGAATCCAGGAATATCCGCAGTCTTTCTTCTGAGGAAGTGTAAGCCCACTCAGAACAGGAAAACTCTCCCATTTTTGTACCTGTAACCCGCCAGCCCATACAATCTGTATCTCACAACAACTCAATCTCATTTTGTTGGTGCCCATCGAACCTATTACTGCATCTATGCACTTGTTAAAAATTTGCAAAACCTTTTCTAATTCAGATATCAGGAGATTTCTATAATTTACAACAAGGCGAAGGCACATCTATCAGCAGCTAATAACCCAACAAATTGATCTAGTATGCATAATATTTCTGAAGGAAATCTGGGTCAATTGCATGGATATTTCATTTCAGACCTTTGCAAATAGCTTCAGGAACAGTTTTTAGCTATTTATATGAATGATTTAAAATATTGTTAGATCTGGAGACTCAGTGGTGGTGCTTGTTTCTAGGAATTAAACTAGCTCCTCATAGAACAGAATGCATAAGAATCCTGTTCAGAGGGAGTTGCTGGGAACTCATGGTTCCATTATTAATTAGCATTGGGAATGGGTTTATTCCAGGTATTAGTAAAATAATGCTTTTAAGCTTTATTGGCTATAATACTGTGGTTATTAACTATATTATACCAGTTATGTTGATGGTGATAACTCTTACATTACAATGAAGAGTATCAGGCTTGTGGGAATATTCTTAGAAACATTATTTTTAAACAGTATTGGAATAGGACTTCTACTGAATACTTTTGGTGAGAATAGACTTATAGCGCATAGTAAAGGACTTGGGTACTGACATGAGGGTCAGTAATGAATTGAAAGACAGAGAGCAGCGATGAATTGAAATGATTCCTTGAAAAAGAAGGTGCAAAAGCAGAACTGCAGCTGAATATTAAGAAAACAATAATGATGACTAAAGAAGAATTACAGAACTTTACTGTCAACAATGTAGAAATCAAAATTGTGAAAGATTCTGTATATCTTGGCTCAGTCATCAATTCAAATGGAGACTGTAAACAAGAAATTCAAAGAAGACTGAACCTTGGAAGGGCATCAATGAAGGAACTAGAAAAGATAAGCAAATGTAGGGAGACCAAGGGCAAGATAATTCACACCATTGTATTCTAAATCGCTGTGCATGGGTGTGAAAGCTGGACATTGAAGAAAGCTGACAGGAAGGAAACTGATACGTTGGAAACATGGTGCTTTATGAATACCCTGGATTGACAGAAAGATGAACAAGTGGGTCCTAGATCAGATCAAATGAGAACTTTCCCTGCGGGTTAAAAGGACACAAATGAAGCTGTCATACTTTGGGCATATCATGAGAAGGAGAGGCTCCTTGAAGAAGACTGTCATGCTCATGAAAGTCAAAGGCAGAAGAAGAAAAGGAAGGCCAAATATGGGATAAATAGACTCCATAAAGGAAGCCACAGCCATCAATCTATAAGAGCTGAGCAGGACTGCCAAGGGCAGGACATTTGGGGAGGGCAGTCATCCATAGGGTCACCTTAAGTCAGAGACAACTTGATGGTACATAAAAAAAAAAACAACAACAGATGTGGGTAGATTATTTTGGAAATTCTGGCACAGTTTGAATAAGCATTTACTTAGCAAATTAATGTAATTTGAAACCTGGGAGTCTATTAATGCATTCTTTGAATGCACTTTTAGTATTTATGCTGAAGCTAAAAACATTGGTTTGTGAACCTCGTTTAGACAAATAGCAGTTCTGATCATGGCCATGTAACAAGACTTGCATTCTCTGTTGACAAAGATTATTGTCTGTCTGTACTTTGGACACAGCTATTTTTCTTTTGTTCTTTATATTCATTCCTTCAGTGTTTTCTTCTTCTTTGTCTGATTTTTATAAAGTTGCTGTTAATAGTATGTCTTGGTATTACTGATTTTGATGGAGTTTGGTTGTTAGCTTCAGGATGTAAGCAGAAGGCATCTTATTGAAATATCAGGACCAGGGATGCTGGAGGTAGATGGAGTACTTAGTAAGACACAGTAAGGCTAGAGGAGAGAGTGGAGTCAGGAAGATAACCTGGGTGTGGCAGGACTAGAGACAAAGGCAGGGTCAAGAATAGGCAAAGGTCAGATCTTAAGGAACGCATAACAGGGCCAAAGGCAGAAATTATATAGGAAAAAACTTGAATTACTGAAAAATAATCTGTATTATTTTTATAAACCAAGATAGTTGTAGCTGTTGCCTCTTCTTAGTGCTTTCTAGTGAGTGAGGGTTGATAGTACCATCAGAGTTTCTGCCTGCCTTCCCATTTCTGCAGTGGCAATCAGTTAGGTAGCCTGGTCTTGAGCTGTACAGGACTTTATAAGGCAAGACGTTGCATTTTGTTCAGTTGCTAATAAGTATCTAGCACAGTTGCTTCAGCACAAGCACAATTAGAAATAATAATCTCTGAAATCCATTCTTAACCAAGTAATCTCTGCCATCTTCTAGTATCCCTCTTAACTGTCAAGTGACCAAATTTCTAACAGGTTCCCTTGAGTTCTGTCTACAGTTATATTAACATTCCATACTCAATGCAGTCATCTCCTGCCCAATCCCAAAACAAATCCTAAACATGGGCCATTATACTCCGGGATTGTTAGTTTTTCAGTAGTCCCAAACTGCTTTCCATTGAACTAAACTAAGCTAGAAGGCAACAGTAGACTTGTACTGATATGCCACTTTTCAAAAGTGAAATCCTCAAGATTTCAAAATTCCTTCTTTATTATATGTTTACATCAATTACATCTGCCTAATACATCCAATTACCCTTCCACCTATTTAATGTTACTATATTATGATTATATTTGCTTTTAAAATTTTAAGACTTTTAAAAATTTAAATTGGTTTATATTTAAAAATGTATTTTTATGATTTGTAAGCCACCTGGGGACTTTTTAAAGTAATTCATGATATAGAAATGGAAATATAAATAAATAAATTTTATTATTTATTATTATTATTATTATTATTATTATTATTATTATAACATTTCTATGCCGCCCCTTGCCAAAACCTCAGGGCGGCTTACAACATGATAAAATACATTGAAATACAATAGTACATAATAAATTACCATTAAATATAAAAATACAAAAAATACATTGATTTACAAATACAAAATTAAAATTATCAAACTGCTTTGTGGAGAAGTAATGCCATTAATAATGTTTATTTTATTTAGGTTCACCAAAAACCTGTCCCCTGACAAAATCAACCTGAGCACACTAAAGGGTGAAGGTCAGCTAACCAATTTAGAGCTTGATGAAGAAGTGCTTCAGAATATGCTAGATCTTCCCACCTGGCTTGCCATCAACAAAGTCTTTTGTAATAAAGCATCTATTAGGGTGAGTAAGTGACTCTCTAGATAAGGAGTAAAGACTATTTTTTCTCCATCTTGTCCTTGAAATATTTTTTTTAAATAGCATTTTAAACTCAATGGACTATAATAAAGAAACCTGAAAGGTACTTGGTTCTTAATTTTATCTTCTATATGACACTCTGTTTTACAAATTGGTACCCTTATGTGGATATTGCAATGCAATGAACTATTTGGGTTTTTTATTTTTCAAATGATCATATCAACAGTAGTGAGTTAGAATGGTTTTTTTTTTTTTTTTGAATTCATAGATCTTTGCGTAGGGTGGTGAAGTACATATACTCAGCCCCAAAAACTCCTCTCTGCACCACTGCATACTGCATGTATACTGCACACCACATGCTTTCATTTTTAATGCATAGACTCTTCTCTCATTAATCAAATTCATGCCTGTTTTCTCTAAGTGTTTTCTTGATTTTTGCAAATATTTTGGCACATAACAGATGAGGCCAGTGTGACATTAGACCTGCAGAATGGCAGAAAGACATAGTTGATTTCTGTGTTATTGATGCTGATTTTTGTGTTGTTGATGATAAATGTGATGTCACATTTGTCTCTAGCAATGATGGCTACATATTTCCTTTAACAATTTGGTCTTTGTTTATCTTGCAGATACCATGGACAAAACTGAAAACACATCCAATCTGTCTAGTGAGTTTGGAATTTATCTCTGCAAATTATGTGAATGATGTATATAGCTTGTAACTTTCTTGCAGTGATACAGAAATGAAAAGCAGCACAGAGAGAAACATTTTGTAATTATAGCTATACTATACAAATAAATGGCTTTCAAAATCACAACCAAAAGAAAGTGATGCCAATTCTATGAAGGAATCTAGACTCATTTTACTGGATTGCATTCCTATGTTCAGCTAGAGATTTGTTACTTTGATTTTTAAAAGGACATTTTTTACCTTTCTTCTCCCCAATTCTTCCTTTTTAATTAATAAAAAGGTTAGAAGAATTTATGACTAATGCTATGTAGTTTTATTCTAGTAGTATAGTAGGAGTAGTAGGAGAACTCATAAATGTTTTTCCTTTGACACAGATAGTCATGGGTGATAAGTCACAGTAGATTTTTACGTTGTGCAGACCCAGACTCATCTGCAGAATGGCTGTCTTGAGGGTGTCAAGCCACCCTGGCTACCATTGCTTTTTCTAGGAGTTGTACTTACAATGGTTTGTTGTGGCACCCCAAACCTGAAAAATCAGGAAGCAGCTAGCAACCTCTTGGCAAGATCACCTAGGCTACCGCCAGTGTGAACTACCCCACAAGAGCCCAAAGAGTCTTTTTTTTGGAAATTCCAAAAAAAAAAAGTACTCGGGGGAGTTCAGAAGTGCATCCCACTCTCTTTCTGGGTGAAAAGGAGCTTTGACAGTTAGCTGTTGAAAAGGAATTTAAAACAGGACTTTGACAGGGCACTGGGTGTTGTTGGAGAAGGATATATACAGCTATATCTCCTGAACCCCATTTTAAAGGGAATCCAGAGTTTTGACAGCTAGCTCTCAAGGCTCCTTTTGTACTGAAAAATGAGTGAGATGCAGTTTTGCAATTCCCTGGACAGCTAGAGTTTGGGGGAAAAGTGCAAAATACTCATTACCTTTGAGTACAGTGAAGACAAAAAAAAGAAAAAGAAAAAAGACAAGGATCTCATGAGGGAGTGGATGCAAATCTCATAGCCCTTTTTCATGAAAAAGATCCCTACACCTTTGATTTCCTTTGACAGCTTGCCTTTTGACAGCTGTGAGGAGAAAACAAAGCATAAGAAAAGCTTATTTAGACCTAGCCTTTTTGGATCAATGTCCAAGGTTGCAGCTTGCTGCACTTTGATGGTAGATCTCCTTCAGGACATTGTCCAACACTTGCAGAACTGCAGTTGCACAAGTACAGCTAATAGAATAAAACAAAAGCACTTGTGCACATAGTTTTTTCAAAAAGTAATTTGCCAGCTACTGACATTCCCTCCAGTATACCATCTGTGCACTTTAAAGGGGCTTCTTAGTGCCTGTCAAAATGGAGATTGCAAAAACTTGCTGTCTCTGGAGAAACAAGGTTAAAGGGACCACCCTCCCCTCAAAAAACCCCAAACCCCCGGCAACCAAAAAAAGGCTGCAATCACAGTGGGGTGAGGGTGGGGGAACAGGCAAGTTAGTTCTGCACCTTGGAGGTTCTGGGAATATCTGTGGGAGGACAGAGGGGGCAACCAGCCCATGGTGTGCTGAGTCAGTAACAGTACTGTGTGAGATCTCATCATGCCTTACTGCTAGGATAAGTCGTGCAAATTTGCCCCTTGTGTTTGCTAACCTGTCTATGGAAAAATAAAAATAGATTAAAATAACAAACATAATAAAAGAAACGGAGATCAGTGTGAATATTAATGGTATAGTTATGTTTCATGAAAGACAGTTAAAATTATATAGAAACTAGCTTCATCTTGGCGACAGATGACTCATTTGTCCCTACTTTATTTCCTTAAAATATATCATAAGGCATGAGGGAATTGTATGTAGGCCACCTTTTCTTTATTGATGCTCTTTATTTTGTTTCCTTCTGACCTCTGATACCCTTAAGATAATTTTAATATTTCAAATCTTTAGGTAGTCACATATCAGCAATCTTGTGGGTCACAGTGTTGTTGGGCCTAAAGGAGTTTTTAAATAATCATTTGGTGCTTTATTATGTCCTGGCTCATATGTTGCTCCTTCTCAAGCATCAGAGGCTATCATATGTAAAGAATATTCTGATTCCATGTTCTGGCTGTACAGTTGCCAAATTAGGGAAGACTTGAACACGATAGCCTCAAGCTGTGTGTTATGACCCGGAATGGTGGTGTTTGCATGTCAGCTGAAGTAATCTCTACACAAACTGATCAGTGATGATGTTTAAGCTCATGAAGGAGGTCATCTTTCTTACATATGAATTTTCAGAAGCCAAATTTACGTATGTGGTATTACTATCAGAAATAAATTATCCCAAGTGATCATAACAGGAACTCAGATTGCCTTTAAGGTAAGGTATTTTGTTATCTTTGGATATTTATACAGGCTTAATTTTTGACCTTGATGGCACTGTTGAGATTCATGGAATGTAGTTCGGTAACACAGACTTGAGGAGTGGGATACAATTTTGCTCTTCCTTAATTTCAGCAATGAATGCTGTTATCTTGCATATGTGTATTTATCAGAGATCTTGATATTGTAGAGGCAATTTTTATACAAGGATGTTTAGAAGATACCAGCATGATGGCTACCTCAGCCACACATCAAACATTTTGTGTTATTTTCTATACATAAATATCTTTGTTCACACATTTATTAGCCCTTGGCAAGCAGTATTATTTATTGGAAATCATGTTATATATGTGGATCACAAGAGAGAAAAATTATGTGACCCCTGGGAGAGTATCCTGCAGATGGATTGTAAACCCCTTCCAAGGATGGAGATTATACTCCAACCTTGGAAGGAAGGGGGCAGAGATTCTTCAAGGTGGGAGGTCAGGCATTTTAGTGGGAGAAGATATCAGGAAGACCTGGCTATGCTGAGACTCATTCTGAGACTCTATGCTGAGACCTGGCAAGACCTGGCTATGCTGAGACTCTAGCCTCATTCACTCCCCTCTTGAAGCAGCCTAGACAGCCTGTAGGAGGACAAAGAGGCAAAAATCACTTTGATGCTCCTGATTGGATGACTCTGAGTTCAGGGGCTTCTGGTTTCCAAGGGTGCAATCAAAATGATTGTATCCTGCTGGGTTTTGAGTGGGTTGTGAGTGTCTAGATTTGTTTCTAAATGTTGACATTCATAGGCTTAGGTAAAATAAACCATCCAAAAAAGAGTAATAGGACTAATTTATAATATTAAGACTGCAAAAAGAGCCAGTGTGGTGTGGTGCTTGAGTGCAGGTCTGGGACTCAGGTGAGCTGGGTTCTAGACCCTGCCCTGCCATGGAGACAGAGGTGACTTTGTGCCAGCTGCAGACTTTCAGCCCAACCTACCTCACAGGGTTGTTGTGGGGATAAGACTGAGAGCAGGAAGAGGAGAATGGTGTTAGCCAGTTTGAGTTCTTTAAAGAAGAAAAAGGCAATAAATAAACACTACACTTGATTTGCTCCTAAAGTGTTAAAATAAAATACACAACCAAATTGTTCCAGAAAACTTTTAATATCAGCTTCTCTTTCTGCAAGCTTTAATTCTATAAGATGGCTTTACTTTAGTCAGTCTTTAAATGTTGAATGTTTTTTCCCTTCATATCTAAGTCACTGGATAAAGTAATAATGGAAATGAGTACATGTGAAGAACCACGTGCCCCTAATGGACCATCACCTATAGCAACTGCATCAGGGCAAAGGTCAGTTACTATTTAATTATTCATTGAAATTAAGATAGGACGTATGCAATTCTGTAACTGGGAAACTGGTATGCCTTTTGCCGGGGATTTCCAAGCTTTTAAGACCCATCATGACTTCGGGGTTTGAAAAACTGCTGTGGATTAGAAACATAGAACCAGAGTGGGTCAGAAGGGGTCTCTTGGGCCATCTAGTCTCACCCCCAGCTCCAGCTGGCTCCGCTCACTATATGCCCACCATGGGCATGTCTAGCCTATCTTTGAACACCCTTCCATACCCTCGGGGTCCTAACTGTCAGGAAGTGCTTCCTGGCATGTAAATGGAACCTTGGTTCCTTGAGCTTTTCTCTGTTGGAGCATGTCCTGCCTTCCTCTGCAGGGGGGAACAGGTCTCTACCTGCTTGTCTGCTGCCTACCTGTTGGATTGCTGCTTTGTCTACTGTCTACCCATTGGATCTATAGTCCTTAGGCTGATTTTCATTCAGCAAAAATGTTTGTTTCATGTCTGTTGGATATAGCAGTGTCTCTTTTGATAAGGCATTGTCTGATTTAGCTAATTGCTGGTGGTGCAATAAAGCTGATGCTTCCTTTAAACATATGTTTCATCCATGTCTAATAATTGCTTCTTTGGGAAGGAAGTTATTATACAGATTAATTCTGTACTGGAACATTCTTCATTATTAACTGATGTACATGTTCTTTTCAATTATTTACCTGCTTCATGAAAATCAAAAAATGGTCAGTGTTAATGTATTCTCCAAATGAATACTTATTTGGATATTTATTCGACATCATTGAAGCAGGCACTTTGGACAACGTTCCTCCAGGCATATATTCCACACAAATCTATTAGAATGAAAATTAAAAATAAATGTCTGTTCCCATTGGCACTACATTGGATAACCCCATGCAGTCTGGAGTCAGCTGTAGGTACCACATTGGAGACCCCTCCTTTGGACAGTATAATAAAGCATGTTTAATTGAAATTTGGCTAAACTGATTATTTGGTTAAGAAAAGTGGTATCAGACTTAGATTTAGCCCACAGAGAACAGCGGCCATTTCTATGGCACCAGTCCCAGCCACCATAATCTCTGAGAAATGGCTGTTAGCGACGATGGCTTTGTCCATGTGTTGCCTCATATTTTCAAGAATCATGTGTAGAAAACAAGCAGCCACTAGTGATTGTGATGAAGAACCAGCTTCTGCACCAGCACTGCAATGCACTTCTGCCCAGTTCTGCCCAGGTGCCAGCAACTTTCAGTGCTTCACTTAGGAATTGTAATTGAATGGTAATGCTTTCACATCTGTAACAGGGCAGATGAGCAGAACACATAACAGCATTCTGCTATCTTGTCCAGATCCAAGAATAACTCTTCCACTGGTTCATGGACAGAACTTTTTGGAGGGCTTTCATTCATAGGGTCATCATACACTGGAGACAATTTGACTGCACATCACACAAATGCACACAAACAGTTTATGAAGCCTGAAATCCCCATTGTGAAGTACTTACTGTGAGGGTCTTACTTGTACAGTGGAATCTGCAGGAGTGCAACAGTCCTGCTGGATACTACCCAGAAATTGTAAGACTATCTACAGGAGGAACTGGCCTGCAGTCTCCACAGAACACCTGCAGAAAAGAGTTTGTTGGATTACAATCAGTGTATTGGAATTGTGATGATAGGATTTACTAAAAGGAATGCTAATGTTTCTCTTTCTGCAAGATTATTATGCAATCCATCTAGTTCCTAGAACAGTTATAATATGCAGGGTTTTAGTTAATGTTATTTTTCTCCTGAATGGCAAGGATGCAGTGTTCTCTTTTGACTATTTTTCTTTGCTACTTTTTAAAGGTAGGGCTTCTTGTTTGGTATTAAATTGTTGATGCAGAAACAGAGGATTTGACCTTTGGTCTGCACAGACCCAGTTCAAGATCTGTTCTGAATTTTGTGAAATCATGGATAGCTTTATTGATTTTTGATCTGATCCAGCACTAGTTTCATTGAATTGCATGTACCGTCTTTATTTCAAATGACTGCTAAATATTTCATATACATATACTAAAGTTCTAACTGAAATACTTGCATTTTATTTTACCAGTGGCTATGGTTTTGCTGAAAAAGTTGTAGAAGGGATTTCTGTTTCTGTAAATTCCATTATAATCCGAATTGGTGCAAAAGCGTTCAACGCTTCATTTGAGCTTTCTCAGCTGAGGATATATAGTGTAAATGCAAACTGGGAATATGGTGATCTTAGGTTTACTCGATTACAAGAGTCTCAGCGTGGTGAGGTAAGTTATTTTATTCTTTCCCCACCCCCCTGCCTTTATGGCTTTCTATTCTAAACAAAGAGTATTGCAACACCCATCTTGCTTGATTAGCATGTCTTCTCTCTTTTAATTTGATCCTAACATCTTATTTTAATGGTGGCTTGCCAGAATGAGGCATACATGCACAGCGACATGGCCTTGGATGGAACAGTTGCTACTGACTGCTTGGCTGCTTCCTTGCCATTTAGATTCCATTTGAAGACATTGCCTGATACAGTTACAGCATGATTAGCATGCCATGAAAGGGTTGTGTGTGTGTGTGTGTGTGTGTGTGTGTGTGTTTAGATTTTTGTGAGATGTCTGATTTCATGGTGTATAAACATTTTAGATTTTCATGGGTCAAAGCCTTTTTATGGCCCTTTGCTAGTGTGGTGGAAATGATTTCACTTGTAAAAGTGCTCAAAATGCCATACAGTTCAGAGGATCTGCCTGTGTTCATATATGGGTATACAGTATATAATGTAGTCCAATTGTATGGCTCATGTCCTATGAATATCCAGATATAATTGTTACTGAAAGTATATGGGTTGCTGCAGATGGTTGCTGTAGTGTAGAAGAAACTGAATTCTTCAGTCCTAATCAAGAGAGAGTTCATTGCCCCAAGTTCCATTGATTTTGGTAGATACACTTAACTTAGCTCAAGGCCTGAATATATAAAGTTTAAATACTGCTGATTTATTGTATCAGCTGAATAAATTCTAGCTTTGTGCACTGGTTTATTGTGCCTTTACATTTTAACCTGGGTGGGCTGAAATTACTGTAATAAGAAAATGTGACAGTGAAAAAGTTTTAATAGGTATATATTATTATAGTATAATTTATTTAATTTCTATACCATTCTGTAGCTAAAGCTCTCTGGACAGTTTACAACAATCCATAAAAACAAAACATAAAATACATTGCATAGTAAAATCAGTACTACTAAAATTTTTAAACTGCTGTAACATACAGTAATAAATTACCTATAAAAAGAGGTCCCCTTAAGCCCCTGGGTAAAGTAACTCTTTAAAAGCCTTGGTATACAGGGCTGTTATAACCTGGCATCAGCATTATGGAAATGTTGGCGCCAAGCAGGCTGCAGCAAGGAATTGTTTCATAGACTGGGGACAACCACATAGAAAGCACTCCCCCTTATTGCCACCCTCAGAGCCTCCCTTGGAGTTGACATTCAGAGGAAGGCCCCATTGCAGCTGAGAAAGAATGCTCTAACAGGTATTGTGGTCCCAAGCTGACTAAGCCGTTATAGGTTAAAACCAGCACCTTGAATCGGGCTCAGAGGCAACCAAAGCAAGTGGGCCAAAACTGGTCTTATGTTTTCAGACTTATGGATCCCAGTTATTAATCTGGCTGCTTCATTCTTCTGAACTATTTGCATTGCATTGGTCAAGTTTAGAAATTAGAGTATGGAGATTACCAGAATGCAGATTACTGAAACAAGCTATCACTGTAAAGATTAGGGGCATAGCTGACCCACCAGCTGAAACTGGTAGAAGGCTCTTGGAACCACTGTGGCTGCCTGAACTTTAAGTGACAAAGATGGATCAAGGACCCCCGCCCCCTGCCCAAGCTATTTATTTATTTATTTTCCAATTTATATCCTGCCTTTTTCCTACAAAGGGCTCAAGGCAGCTTACATCATTCTCCTCCTCCGTCTTATCCCCACAACAACAACCCTTTGAGGTAGGTTTGGCTGAGAGGCTGTGACTGGCCCAAAGTCATCCAGTAGGCTCCATGCCTGACCGGGGACAAGAACCCAGATCGTCTGAGTCCCAGTCCCAGCTCTGGACCACTACACCACACTGGCTCTCAGCCCCTTCAAAGGGAGTGCAACTCCATCTAAAACAGATTGAATACCCTCCATCTGGTCAGCAGCACCACCCACCAGCAGCATCTCAGGCTTGTCTGGACTCCATTTTTGCAGACAGGCACCAATTTAGCACATCTCTGCTAGCATAGGTCTTTATACAGGGTTACCAAGACTGTTTCCATGTCAAAACCAAGTCTAAAACTTGACTGAAATAGATCCAGATAAACATTCTTATGCAAGAGTGGCTACAATTGATTGGCAACTGCTTTTTCAAGAACTTTGCCCAGGAAAGAGATGTTTGCTACTGGTCTAAAGTTATTAAGGTCCTCTGGATCAAGGGAGGATTTTTAAAGAAGTGGCCTAACCACCACTTCTTTAAGGAGGCATGGGGCCTCTCTCTCTCTTGGGGGCATTAATCACCTCCCTGGCCCAGCCAGTTGTTCCCTTCTAGCTGGCTTTTATAAACAAGGAGGACCAAGCATCGAGTACAATGGTGGTTGTATAACTCTGACCAAATTCCTTATTAACATCCACTAGTTTTACCAACTTAACCAATAAAACCAGACCAGGCAGTGCTGTGGATATCTCAACAGAATCAATTGATTTAATTCTGAAGTCTAAGTTCTAGTGTATACAAGAAATTATTTTCCTGGATATGCCAAGCAAATAAATTTCACTGGGCCTCCAATGGTTCTAAGATATCCTTGGGTCCAGCATGTAAAATACAGTGTGCCCCAGACAACCCTGAAAATTTCTATTGGACAGCAAATGGAAGATTGAACAGAGGTAATGAGATGTTGTTTCTTTGACACCCTCACTGTCTTTAAATTAGGGGTATACAAGTAATCTTCTTTGGGTGGGCAGTCTGTTGGATTCCCTGGGTTTCAGCTTCCTGGAGTCCAAACCAGCGATGATCCAGAGTCCAAATTCCTTGCAAGCATGCCCAGGGTTCACAGGGTGCTTGGCAGGGATTGAGACCCATGGGCTGCGCAAGAAACAACTAAGGGGAAAATAAAGAATCACCCTCACCATTGTGGCATCCTGAAGTGACAAACCAACAGTAATTACCACCCAGCCCCACTTATATGCTGCAGGAAGCTGCTGGATTGCCAGGTGACTTCACTTTGCTCAGATTCAATTCAACTGTGATTCTCTCAGTTGAATTGGTGAAGATTGATGGAATGGTGGGTAGGGGAGCAGCTTGCAGCGGTCCACTTCCTCAAAAGTCCCACAGCCTCCTATGTGACTCATTAAAATGTCTAAAGTTGAAACAGACTAACTTCAAATCAAAAGGCTGAAAACTTTGATTAGTGAAGACTATTCTCCCTGTTTCAATTTTTGAGTTTAAGGAGAAGGAATAAAATAAGTTGTAAATAGAAGCTATTTGTTCAGATGTTAATGAATTTGAGTTAACAAATTGGACTTGAATTCAGATGTGACTGGTTGACAGTCCTTTGGGTGTTAGGAGGGGTGAGAATGCTTTCCCTTCCAGTAGATGTTTAAATTAATGTGAATTTTATTTTAGGTATTGACATTTAAAGAAATCACCTGGCAGATGATAAGAATAGAAGCAGATGCAATCCAAAGCTCTCAGCATGAAATCATGAGTGCTCCAGTTCGCCTGATTACTAACCAGTCCAAAATCAGGGTCACACTTAAAAGAAGGGTAAGTGAATGTAGATATGTTGCAATTTTAATGATGGTAGGGATAATGGAGAAATTCAACAGCAATATTATATACATACATTTTCCTTCAGATTTGTTTAATTCTGTTCTAATCAGTGTGATACAAAAAGGATCAGTGTGATATGAAAAGGATATGCTGTTAGCCGTCCAGAGATGTTAGTAATTGGACGGCATACAAATTTTATAAATAAATTAATAATAATAAATAAATATAGAAATTTTAGTTAACATTTACAGTAGTATTTGTGGTACAGGACGGGTCAGCACATGTGCTTGCCACTGTAAGGACACATTTTTTTATTAGGAGATTCCATTCCTTCTGAGCCTAGAAATGGACTGGAGAACCTCCAGATCCCATGCTGAGCTTTAGAAAGAGAAAGCAGGCAGATATCTTGCTTCTTTCCGAATCTTTCAAGGCTCAGTTCACAGGCTCAGCTTAAACATCATGCTTGATCTCAGAAGCTTCCCTTGCGAGTACCTTATTTATAGTATCTCTGAAGCTTGGCATGATGTCAGAGTTAAGAACCTATCCCACCCGCTTTTGTGGGGTGACATCAGTGGCAACCATAGAGTTTGGCTAATAACAATGTGTAGCATGTGTTATGTATAGTTATACTCATTTTGCTTGTTGAGAGGCTAGTGATTCAGGAGTTTAATTTGCACTTACAGTAATTTGTAACCAGAACAAGAAATATCATCCCTGTACAGCAGGTGTTGAGAGTGTAGTCCAGTCCACAGTTGGTCATTCTTGCTGTGGCCATTTGGCATCAGTAGAACAAGGCAGACTGTCTTCAATTTTCAACTGGATTATGACAGATCCCAAGATTTTATTCATCTTATTTTGTATAGATTTAGTGCAATTGGTCCATTTTGTTAGCTGCCTTGATCCTGCCAAAGGAAATGTAGGCTATACATTTAATAAATAGAAGTTTTGTTAAGTGTTTAAATCAGCCATTTTTCATCTGAAAATTTTTAGGACACATAAAATGTGTGTTAGTTGGTTAATTTTGAAAAGAAAGACTTGCACTATAATAGTGGATGTACATGTTTTTCTGTGGTCCTACTACACTATTAAGAAAAGGTCTTTCTCAGTGAGGGGTACAAAAGTGCAGGAATAACTGAACACAGATTCAGATTCTTATTATTTTGTACTTTTAAAAATATTTTGCGATAAACCCCATTTTTATATAATATCCTCAAATCTGGTCCTTGCCAATATTAAATGTTACCTTTCTCCCCCTCAACAACAGTTAAAGGATTGCAATGTGGTAGCATCAAAGCTGATTCTCATATTGGATGACTTGCTGTGGGTTTTGACTGATTCCCAGTTAAAAGCTATGGTACAATATGCTAAATCTCTTAGTGAAGCAATAGAAAAATCAGCAGAACAAAGAAAAAGCCTGCCTTCTGAACACACACAGGTAAGCTAATCAGTCATTATTCATGTTAATGGGTACAAATTCAAACAGAAAAAGAGGCATACCTCTGTCTAATTCAGTGGGACTGAAGTATTTAATTAAATTAATTAAATTCCTACTGGTTTCAAAGAGTCTTTTAAGAGTCAAATATTTGCTTGGTTGCTTCCAAAATAGTAGCATCTCATCATTAATAACTGAGAACCATAAACTGGGTACAAATCATTTTTTATCTACAATACCATATGGCTCCCTTGTTTTGGGTCAAGAAGATCAAAGCTTAAATATATTCATGAATAGGACAGAAAACACAATATGTCATGTCAGGCTAAGTTGGCTTTGTTGGAGTGTGACATTTCTTGAAAAAGAGTAAGCTTCTACAGGACCACGATTTTAACTTCAGAAATTTGGACTGCAACCTTATATGCACTTATGTTTGAGTAAATCTCCTTGAACTCTGTAGCAATCTTGAGTAGATACATATAGTATTGCACTGTTAGCAGGGAACAATGTAAAGAACTATTGCTAGCACTAGAAAGAATAATTTTGTAGGATTTGTAGTATTCTCTGCCTTCTTTTAAAAATAATCTGAATTAGAGTACTCAAGAAAAAAAAATATCCCTAGAAGCACTTTAAGATTTTGCATTTAAAGTTGCCCCCATGCTTGGCAGCTTGACAGCTGGCTATTTGTTTTGCATTGTTTTTAGCATTGATATTGTTATTGATTTGAGTAGCAACTAATATGTTAGGCAATTTTGATAATATAAGGCATATCCAAGATGTTAGTTTTGAAAGCTTTCCTTAACATGAAAGTCATAAGCAATTATTTAGAATTCTTGTAAGTTTGATTTATTTCAGTACCTCATGCTGAGGCATACACTAAATAAGATTTTTAAAATAAGGTTATATATTTGAATATTTCCAGAGTTCTACTCCTGCACCCAGTTCTCAGCAGGTGAAAACACAACAGGCCTCGGCAGCCACTGATCAAAATGATGCACTTGTGAAACTATTCAATGATTTTGATGTTAAGGAAACTTCTTATCATCTTGCAATTTCCCATTTGGATCTGCATATATGTGATGATATTCACACTAAGGAAAAGGGTAAGCATTTTATTTGGTGTTTCCATAATATTGGGTATAACTGTACATCTTTTTTCCTGGCCAGTCAAGAAATTGGATTGATTGCTGTATGTATCACCAGTCCATTCCATCCATACACTTTCTGGTATATGCATTATTTGTTAGAGGCTAATTTGTTCTTAACAGCATCTTTAGTTAATTAGTCTGCCCTGCATGTTGCAAAGGTGTTTAGTCTATTAAGTGAACACACAGGGGGCTGAAAATGTTAAAGACTCAGGGAGCTTAATGCATTTGCCTAATTAAACTTTAATTAGGTAGGCATCCATCCTTTCCTACTAGGAATTGATATGAACTTATATTGATGTTGGGTGTTTGAAATCTGTCATATTCCTAAGGTTTTTTATTTATATCAATAATTAGAGTTTCCATTTTTAACTCTGACAGGAAAAACATTAAGAGGAATAGAATTTATAATTCAGTGTTCCATCATTTTCAATAAAGGAGTTGTTGCTTGGAGGGAAGGTGTAGAAACTGTAAGAAACTGTTAGTCCTCTGATTGGTGGCTATAAAAATGCTGACCTTCTTCCCTCTACTATAGCCATAGTAAGAGAAATTCTTAGAAAGGAAGAAACTTTAGTGGGCTCTTGGTTTGCTGGCTAATGTACTACTGTGGCTGTATGCTAACAGTGGGCTATACCAGACAACTACTAAAAAGTGAATTTCTCCTTGTGCTTGATGCTCCAGCTAAGTGTACTAGACAGGGCTTTGCTGTGAGAGTCACAGTACTCATGCTTGTATTTAAAAAAAAGGGGGTGGTTAGAGGTTAATATCCTTAGAGAAGGAATGTGCCACCCTGAGAAAATGTGGAATAGAAGTTCATAACACCTGCTAGCTTCTTCAATTGGTGAAGACCTTTAGTAAAATATATGTATACTTCATGTGTATACTCAGTTGGTATAAATATATTTTATTAAAGTTCTTCATAGTGCAATGGTCTGAGAGCTAATGGGAATAGCAACACATTTACCTTCAAAGTGGTAAACAAAAGAAACTTCCTCATTGAACAAACATAAATAGTATTATGTAGCATTAAGCACTGCATTATTTTACAGATGCAAACAGGCGTGTTTCAGGAGGTGCTATGCAGCTGTCCTTTAGTCAGTTAACTGTTGACTATTACCCTTTCCACAAAGCAGGTAAGAGTAGTACATGCTGAATTGTATTTATAAGTTGTATTTGTACAAAATGTTAGATATTAACTAATTCTCAATATTTACTACAGCAAATGTGATCCAGTATTATAGAAAATAGAATGAAGATATTCCAGGCTCCATACGTTGTGCAAAAAGTTATATTGTGTCTTACCTTCTTGTTGAAAAAGTTGGTTAAATATTTTCTAACCAACTTTTTAGAGTGTCCAGGCTACTTTACATATATTCTTAGTAGTTCTCACAACCTGATTACTCCTCTCAAGTAGATAAGTGACATTACCTACTAAGGAATTCAATTCATAACTCAGTCTTGTAACTCTGACAAGAAGTATTAAAATTAGGGCTGCACTACTAATCAAGCTGATTAAAATTGCAAGGTTTGATTTTAAAATTATCAACAAGAATAATGAGGTGCTGTCCTGTGTTATTTAACCTTCCAGTGTAAGCCCTTGCAGCTCTTTCATTTGTCGGGGGTTGCTTCTGCCAGATAATGGATCATCTGTCCCCTGTGATAGATGCAGATGTGTTTGGCATGATCTCACATTTCCCACAAACAGGGACACCTTGATGAAGGAAATGGTGGAGAAATAGTGGTAGAATTGTGCCCAGTAGTGTCCTCTAATACCTCCTCCACTTAGAAAGAAGAAAGGTGCCTGGAAGAGGGAGCATAATGCAACTCTTTTGAACTCCATTTAGCTCCACCGGTGTCTGGGAAAATAACAGAGAACAAAAGTTGCTTTTGGCTGCCACTTGGCACCCTTATCTGGAATTGATTATTTCAGGGAGTCCTACAGTGATGTAGAAAGACGATTCATCCGCCTGGCAGAGTTAATTGCTAGAGAGGAGTGTGAGATGCAATTCTGTGAAAGGAACATTGTCAGCAGGGAGAAGTAAAATTATAGCTGCTTACACTTTCCTGCTTCACAATAGCAAGAAGCTCAGGTGCAGAGACAAATCTCATACTAAGTGTGTATTCTGTCTTTAATTCAAGTTTAGAATCTGTGACTATGCAAATCAGCAAGTTAAAATCTCCTAAATAATCAGCATTTATTCGCTTGGGTTCCATCCCTAATTGAAATGTAATAGATTGACACTGAAGGACTGACAAAGCTTCAATAGCCTTTCCATTTGAGCTAAATAAGATGCCACCACTGAGGTGATTTTACTCAGGCTTGTGGAAGACTGTTCCCAAATATTTAATGTCAGGTGGATACCATAATGTGTAATGGAAGACTTTCAGTGTTTGCACTATGCTCTGGTCACAGGCTAATATGAGTTGCACTTTAACCATTGCAATGAAACATTCATCCTCCTAATAATGGCAGGCAACATTACTGGATACAGTAAAACAGTAAATCAAAAAATCATCTGAAAATTTAATGACCATGGCATTATAAATGTATGTTTGACTTTTCTTTTTGCTGCCACCACAGCAATGGCATAGTAATGTGAAAGAATATAGGATTCCCTTAAGATCCTTAGGATGCCATGAAAAAACACAGTTATATAGATACAAAACTGGATTGTTTGCTGGCCCTACTAAGTAATATCTTAGATCCTATTGCACATATGAAAGAGAACTAGGAAGTTGAACCACCTGATTTTGAAAGATTCTGAGATAGGTGCCTTAGGGAATTAAACTGCCAATAGAAATGGTACTAGTTTTCTCCTTGCACAATTAATCTGTAGAGAGGGAAAGTTAGAAACAGAGCACGTAATGCTGAGCATAAGGAGGCTTGTCCAGGCTTCATTGTGTATCTCTCTCACCCACACATAAGCATGCATTCTTTCACTGTCTTCCATGCCTGCACAAGTTTGTTAAACAGTTCAGACCACTGCTAATAGCTGTCATTTCTTAAGGAGTTTTATATCACATTTTTAAAATTGTGGAGAATGACATCATTGTATTCTGTCCATATGTATTTCAGAACAATCTTGTTACCCATTTTCATAAGTTTCAGTTCCAGTATCAGGTTATAATGAAGAGGCAGGCAAACAGTAGGTGCCATCTCATCACAGGTAATGTGGGGAATCCTGTGGGAAACAGGATTCTGTTTTAGAATATTTTTGAACTGAAACACCAGGGCTCTTCTTAGTGTAATTGTCCTAGCTGTATGTATAATAAAACTAGGAATTTTCAAACAGACGGTATATTAATTTTAAGTGATTTTAAGTAACTTTGATTTTTAAGGTATACTATGCCATGTTTATAAATTCTTTTTGTATAATACTTGTAGATGATAGTTGCAGCCATTGGATGCATTATAGTGATGCTACTAAAGCCAGAAGTGGATGGACAGAAGAATTACTGCAAGAGTTCAAAAGCAATGTTGAACTGCTTAAGCAGGCTGTGAAGGATCACAGTGTAGATTCTCCCACTAAATCTCCACCTATGGGGTCTCCACAGCACATGCAAATAGGTATGTTATTGTATACAATGTTAGCTTATAAAATGAGGAGGACCATACATGCCCATGGTAGGCATGTTGTGAGCGGAGCCAGACTAGATGGCCCGGGAGGCCCCTTCTGACTCGCCATGTTTCTATGTTTAACTCCCATCATGAATATAGGTCCCATTGGTTTCAGTTGATTGGGATCCATCATACATTTGTATTGGGATGATTTAGATATTTTATTTAAATATTTTTATCCTGTCCCTATTCAAAATGGATCACAAGACAGCTTACAAAACCAGAAGCATAACAGCACATTAAAAACATAATTTCAATATATATTAAAATATGCAGTAAAACCAAGAAATCGTTCAACCATTAAAATTCTGGGTAAATAAAAAGGGTTTGCCCTGGCAAGATATCTTTCTTTAATAAATCTTCATCTCTAACTCGTGTATCCTAGTTTTAGGAGGAAAAGATCTGATTAGGTTTAAACCTCCACAGATTTGGCAAATGTGAAAACCAGATTATGCCAGCTGTAATTTGTATTTAGTAAATTAAAGGACTTTTTTCTGTCTAAATGTGCACATAACTCCAACCACTCCCCAGTCATGTCGGGTTGTGCCTTAATTCATTTTAATGTTGACAGTATTGGCTTTAACTGGTTTTTGTTATTTATTTGTGTCTGTCTTTAGCTTATTTTAGGTCACTTTAATAACAATGGTTGTCTAGGCAGTTTATAATGTAGGGCAAGGATGGGAATCTTCAGGCCATCTGACCCTGGATTCCCCAGACACTCATGTCCCCTCCCTGCTTTTCTGCAGTTTTTCCACATTCGGAAAGGTAAAAGTGCATCTCCTAAGGCTTACCTGGTGGCACTAAGACCTTTTAGCAACAGTGTTGTGGCCTCACCCCTCTTGCCCTGAGTTCCTTCTCCTTTACTTTTAATCCCACCACCACTGCAAGGCAGTCCACAAGAATTCTTCATAATTGAACTCGGCCCTCTGAATTCTGGCTGAAATATATTCATTTTCTATACCATCCAACAGCCAATGCTATCTTCCCACTCCTGATATACAGCCATTTTAAAAACACAATTATAATCAAGGCAACAAATATAATGCAACAGAGATTTTACAGGTTGTCTTTTAGTACAATGGCAGAATTAGTTAAGCATGAACTATGGCCCATATATATTTTTATGCCTTTTGTTTTTAACAGGCAAAGAACAGGTACCTGTTGGAATCTCTGTTTCCTCTGTTTCATCTCAGCAACCAAAGGATAAACTGATGTCCAGCCCTGTGGTGGTTAGACTTGCTGATGTTAATATTTATCAGGTACATTTGAATGCTGATTGCTGAAGTTCATTCTTCTGTTTCTTGATATCCACAATTATGATAAAGATCTAATACTTGTTTCTATCAAATTTCTTAATCTAAAAGCTGACTTTCATTAAAATGTCAGGCATTTTCCCAAATCAATAATTTGTGAGAAAATAGTTTATCTTTCATACCTGGCTTACTAACAATCTTAATTACATGTTATAATATGCAACTTCCCCAGATAGTTAAAATTATGCCCTCTGAATAGTGCAGATGAAAGGCAATTGCTTACATTTATTTATATCACAAAGCCCCAAGTACGCTATTGCTTAAAGGTGAATTTCAAATTTCCAGGTCTCTACTGCAGACCAGTGTCGTCGTTCTCCTAAAACTCTTCTTTCTTGCAATAAGAAGTCTCTATACCTCCCACCAGAAATGCCAGCCATTCATATTGAATTCACGGAATACTACTATCCAGACGGAAAAGATTTTCCCAGTAAGAATTTTTTTTCATTCTCTTCCCTTTGTTTGAAATATATAGTTATTTATCAAATTCCAAGAGCAGTTTTTATTTCTCAGATGCAGTGTTTAGGGTATTTTTACATTGTGTTTGCTTTTCCACAGTAATCAATTATGTGGAAACGTGTTCATGTAGCATTTCCAGCTGTATGAAGATGTTAATTTTTCTGACTGCTAAAGATTATATTGTACAGCTGCTGCTGCCCACACACTTGGCTTTCCTACATGTTTTCTGCCCAGAAGAAGTTATGGGGTTTCTCTTACCTTCAAATGGTTCATGCTAAAAGCTTAAACTAAATGCTGAAACTCCAGAACTACTACAGTAAAAAAACATACATTTTTGAATGTTTGGAGGTGGCTGTTAGTGGTCATAAGATGTTGCAAATGATTCACCATCATCTTTTATTCCCTTTTCTTCCCTCCAGATTGCTGGAACTTATCTTAAATTTATGACAGCATGAATGCTTATAAACTAGCCATGTGTGTATAAGCACCTTCAGAAAACAAAACCAATAAAAGTACAGAACTGCCTTTCCATTCCAGCAGTGCTAGGTCATTTGGAAACTTTAATTCCTCTTTCTTTCCAGATCCTGCAGACCAGAAACTTGTGGTTCCATCTATTCAATTTTACCTCTCTTTTGACTCCTTTGGGATTAGAATAAGTGCTGTAACTAAGAATTGTCAGGCTTTCACTCTGTTAAGGCTACTTCGTTGCAACAACCCTGGTTACCAATGCAGAAAAGAAATGAACAAACATGTACATAGTGACCTTGAGTGCTGACTTGTGATAGCAATGTAATTAAAATACATCTATTGAAAAACCAGAGGGGGGTGCTGGCATGGTCAGCAGAGCCTCAAGGTTCATAGAAGTAGAAAAAGTATTTAGTGGGGAAATAACTTCAGAATGAATCCAGTGAGTGGTCTAAACATGCAGAATTGCCCCAAAATGTATAAGCTGTGAGGAGAGCAGGAACCAAATGGAATAACTTGCAAGAGCATGGCTAACTACAGCACTTAACAGGAACACTCCACAATGTAAATGTGTTGCAGGTCCACCTTGTGTTTGTTATCAGTATGCTACCATTTCTGGTTGGAACTGGGGCCACAAGAGCTTTAAGGGGAAGGTAATTCTCACTGTTATTCAGATATAATATTCCGTATACAACCTGAATGTTGGCTTCCCAGTTAGCTTTTCATATGCCATTTAGACTGGGTTAATGTTTTTAGCCAGATATTATATCTGGTTATTTTAAAATCCTTTTGTCTTAATTTTTGTTTGTTTTTTGTTGTAGTTCCAAGTCCAAACCTTTATACGCAGCTAAATGCTCTGCAGTTCACTCTAGATGAGAGGAGTATTCTTTGGCTAAACCAATTTGTGCTAGACCTGAAACAGAGCCTCACTCAGTTCATGGCCATGTACAAATTAAATGACAATTCAAAGTCAGAAGAACATGTTGATGTTCGAGTTGATGGCTTGATGATAAAGGTACAGTTTGCAACAATTCAACAAAATTGGGTGTTGTATTTCTGCAGTGAATTAAGCATGAGAACAGCCTCTTTAAGTAAAACAGATGTTTGGAAATGCAGAATAACTTGTGAATAGCAGAACACAAATGATGTACGAAGTCCCCACTCCCCACTGTAGTTCTTCTTGGACATTTGAAGATTCTAATTTCTTTGGAAGAAAATTTGCAGCCTCTTTTTTGGCTGTTTTTTTTTTAAATGGATGCTGTTTCTTCTCAGTGTAACATTGAATACCATATAGCTTTCCTGACTGATCATATGAGGGAATACCATTTGAGGTTTTAGTACATGCAACAACTTCAGTTAAATTGTCTTCAAACTAAAGAAATTCTGTTAAGTATGACATTAAATGCTAAACAGAAGTCTCCAATGGGGGTGGGAGGGGGCAGAATGCTTGGCACAAGAGAATTTATAATGAGCATATTTGAAACCTAGAACTCAGATAATAGGTGAGATACCATTATCCTTGGAAATCTATAGGAAGGACAGGAAAGTGCATATTTATTGCACTTTTTGTCAAAGACATAAGTATTAGCAAAGTTTAATCTAGAAAACTGTAAAGAACAAACTCTGCAGAAACTGAGAGTGGAAACTTACGTATTAGTTAAAAATCCTTCTAAACCAGAGTATGTACAAAACTGTGCAGTTTATTGTAAAAACAATAAAGCAGCATAGTAAGATCCCAAAAAGCAGCAGATATAATGTACATACCAATCATATTATCTAGTTAAAATGGCTAGGTATAATGATAGCAATGTCAGTTCCAGTTATGTGTCCTAGGGAGGGGGCATTCCACAATCAGCACCACAATTGTCAAGGCTCTCTCCGATGTTGGCATACAAGTTGCTTGGAGAATAGCCTCTCTAGTAATATTAAGATACAAGTAGGCTGATAGAGGGAGAGGATTCCTAAAGATATTTCCATGGCTGAAAAAGTACAATCATGGTTGCCACATTCTGCCCTAGTGGAACCTCCAGATTCTTCTCCTTGGGCAACCCTCTGTGCCTAGATGACAATAATACAGTTGGGAGGTTACCAGAGTGTGAGGTATTATGCGCAGATGTAACTAAAAATAATGAAGTGAGCTCTAATCTTGTATCCTTTTATTCTTTAAGGCATCACATGATAATCTAATAGGGTTTTATTTCCAGTCTGCATTTTATCTTTCTCAATTTAGTTTTTGTTTCGGTAGCCATTCTCAGACTTTGTGCAAGGATACCCCAGAGCATATTGATCTTGCTCATACATCACTTATGCAACCCCCTGCCCCCCAAACATTCTGTCCTCCGTTTTTGCTCTTACAGTTGGCACTAGTGCTAATTTGGCTCTGGTCTGAAGTAGCAAAGATTTCTGCAGTAAAGGATTTCCATTTTTTCTCTCCTCTTTCAGCAATCCCAAATTAGTCACAGCCCTCTTTTTGAGAAATGGTGATGCTTAACCACTTTTCTAAATATTTATCAATAAAATAGGTATTCCTTGCAGCAAACTACCTTTCCCTCTAGTATACATACACTCCTACAGTTTGAGAAAACTTTGAAAAATGTCTGTCCTTTATTCTGGTTTTGTAATACTGCTTTATGTTTTTCATTGCAGTTCATCATTCCTTCAGAAAGAAAACAAAACCATAGGGATGATCCATGTGAAATTTCTATTCAGAGTTCTGAAATGATTGCTACAAATACTAGGCATTCACCAAACTGTAGACACTCTGATTTGGAAGCAGTGTTTCAAAACTTCAAAGACTCTGAATTTTTCAGTAGAACTTTCACAGACTTTCCAAAATCCCCAGATTGTTTCAATCTTCTGCATCCAATCTTCCAGCGACATGCTCATGAACAAGATACAAAGATGCATGATGTCTATAAAGGACTTATCACTCCCAAACTTAATAAATGTGCACTTAAAACATCTGCTGCTTCTGATGTCTGGGCAGTGCATTTTTCCCAATTTTGGATAGACTATGAAGGAATGAAGAGTGGGAAAGGTCGGCCAATAAGTTTTGTGGACTCGTTCCCACTTACACTGTGGATTTGCCAGCCCATAAAATTTGAACAGTCACACAAAAAGCCTTCTTTTTATAATCAGAAGACTCTTAACATTCCAAAAAGTGACTCTAGTGACCTTGCTAGTCGTCTGCAGCGCAAAAAGCTTCTGAAAGAGTATTACAGCACTGAGACTGAAGCCTTGACCAATGGGATTGAAGACACATGCTCTCTCAATCCTGTTTTGGGAACTCAGTCTGCACAGTCTGTATCTGATGCGGATATTCACATTCTTGTTCACATTCAAAAACATGTGAGCATGCAAATCAATCATTACCAGTATCTTTTCCTACTCTACCTCCAAGAATCCCTTGTGTTGCTCCTCGATACCCTGAGGAAGGATGTAGAGACTATGACAGGGAAACCTGCAAAACAGGCAGATGTCTGCATTGGGATCTTACTGAAAACTGCAGACATAGCTCTATTGCTTCATCCACTCACGCAAGGAAGCACTTGCAAGTCTCCTGTTCTAGAAGAAGGAAGTCCAGTGGCATCAGATCTCTCACCCATGGAAAATGAAGAAACTTTTGGATCAGAAAGCAAGCTAGTTCCTGCTCATACTACACAGATGAGCAATTCAGATATTACTGTGGTAGCTGACTGTAGGTCTGTGAGTATGGATTATTGCAAAGCTGTACCAATGGAACCACTTTTCAAATCAGATAGTGATATGGATTTGCGAAGGGGAAGTTCTTTTTCAGATGATGCTTCAGAAAAACTTTTGGGGAAAATAAATGAAGAAAATAGTAGTGGACTCTTCAGTCAAAGTGATTCAGAAGAAATCTGTGAGTCACTAAGTGACAAGAGTAATACATTTAGCAAGGATTTGGTTAATGTTTTAGGTTGCAGAGAAGATTCTGTTGAGACACTGATGGACAAGGAAGATGACAAAAGTGTTTTTTCAAATAAGGAAAGTGGAGCAGGAGGCTCACCTCTTAAAGTTACAGAGTTAGATGCTGATGCTGTGTGGCAGTCGCAAGAACTTGAAAATGATAAAGAAAAATTAGCCACAGCCAAAATGCTGGTTTTTCAGTCTACATCAAGGTATAGAAAATGTTAAGGGCTAAAAAATTAAGTAATTGTATAGATGTTGAGATTGAAGTAAGGGTTTACATGTATTTTGAGACTTAAGGCTGCACCACATATTACTATCATCAGGAGGCTGGAAAGAGTCTCTCTAACAGGGCTAGGGTTAGAAACTGTAACAATTTCTTGCAATATATGGTCTATTACAGTGATGGCGAACCTTTTAGAGACTAAGTGCCCAAACTGCAACCCAAAACCCACTTATTTATCGCAAAGTGCCAACACTGCAATAAAACCTGAATACTGAGGTTTTAGTTTAGAAAAAACAACCCACACATTAACATCTTTTGTCTTAAAAGAAAAATACAATAACAGAGCTTTCAATGATACAAACAGCTTTTTATTGAAAGGTAAAAGTTTGCATTTGGCATGCTCTGAAAAAGGCATCTGAGTGCATTTCCTACCTTGTGGGGGCTTCTGCTAAAATCACAGCCAGTCCAAGCAAATATATATATCCTTGCTCTTGTTTTCATAAATTCTTCACAAACAACTAGATATGATGCTGCAGATTCAAATATGCCAGGGGACAGCACAGCATTAAAAGAATTTCAGTCTCTTGATTAGAACATCTCTTTGCTAAATCTTAGATATTAAATTTCAATTTTTCATAAGAAAACTCAAGCTAAAATCTTGTGTTAATAAAAACAAATGCATTAAAACTCACAGCCAGTCCAAGCAAATATAAATAATATATATATATATATATATATATATCTCCTTGGCAGTGCACTGACCGGCCATGAGAAGGCTTGGACAAGTTGTTTGTGATGTCATTGCTTGGCGCTACTACTCCTTTCCGAGCATGCGCATAGCCCCTATATGCGCTGTTACCTGATGTTCGGCTGCTGGGGCGATGCTGGGGCGACTTGGCTTGTGTGCCGACATAGAGGGCTCTGTGTGCCCAGTGCGGCACGCGTGCCATAGGTTCACCACCGCTGGTCTATTATATAAACAATGTTCTCTGTAGTCTACATTGTATATCAGTTGGAAGAGTTCCTGATATCTAGAAAAGGTTTAGAAGGTATCATAGTTTATTCACTTATCTTACTTGTATGACTTTCATCCCTTATAGCATTGACAGTAAAACAATTCTAGATCTAGACATCTAGATGACACTAGATGTGTTCCTTGTTTGCCTCCCTAGAACAATTGTTTTATGAGGCTTGTGAACAATACAGATGGGATGATCTTCCCTTTATCCTTACCCAAATGTAACTTAACGTAGACAGAAACAAATCCACTGCGTGAAATGATGCTCACACACTGCTGGAACAACTAGAGTACAGAAGTCAAAGATGACTAAATTACTTTGCTAGTTTTAAATCTTGTAACTGTAGATAATTATTCTATACTCTTACCAGCATTTTTTACTATTATGCTTTGGAGGATTTGATTTTCTTTTGTACATTTTTCCACCTTAAGTAATAATGTCCTAATATCTTTATATTAAAAAGTGGAAAGCCTAAGGAACCCTGCCAGTCCAATCTCCCTGCATTCTCTGTTTCTTATAAGAACATGAAGAAAAGTCCATCACAAGTCTCCTTGGATACCATTTCTACTGATAGCATGTTGTTGGAGGAACACTATTTGGAGAGTGATGGAAGTGAAAGCCACAGCTTTTTGGAGAAAGGTAAGCAAACTAAGTTTTTTGAGCTTTGAAATTAAAATGGATCAGAAAGTCTTTTTTGATAGTTGTCTTGATTTGTATTTTTTTTCCATTTTAGTGCTTACAGCTACTGGTAATTTATATAAAAATGAAGATTTAAATGATATTCATAGATTTCAAAGAGTTTTAGACCTCTAGTGTAAATGCATAGTTGTGGGATACACTGTACATTGTTGGCTGAGTCCTTTAATTAGGATGGCTGGTTTACCATATGGCCGATGAGTTTCCATTTGACATTACTGCCAACATAATTAATCCCAGTCAAACAGATGCAGTCCTTAGAGTATTTGTCCTAGATAATAGTTAAATGTAGCTAACAGTGATTGCTTGATCAAGTTCCTGAGGGTGGAATTTAGCCTGGTTTTAGCATGTAGTGGCCTACAGTGCTGAGGATGTCTGGTTTTCTTCTTGTTTTTATGAAAAGCAGATAAATTTATAGGATTATGTACAAAAAAATTAAAGGTTCAGCTTGCTTTGTAGTTTTCAAGGATGGTGCAGTATCTTTATTAGTTAAGCTCAAAGTTTTACTATATGTGCTTGCCTGCCTACAGTGCATTTTTCCAGTTTTTTTTAATATCTTGGGACTGATCCTTTTAGAAAGTATCTGGGGATTGTATGTTTGATATTTTGAGGTGAGAGAGATCACTGTATTCTTAAAATGGGCAAGATAAATTAGCTATAAACATGTTTTTACTTCTAGTAGAGCATGTTATCAGTTGTATGCTATTCTGGAGGAATGTGAGTCTTTGTGCTGTGGAGGACTAACAAAAGGGCAATTTAGATGAATAAATAGACATCTCAGAGGTTTTCACTTGATTCAGGTTTTAAACTTCACTTCCACTTCTGGAATCTAGATAGTATATAAGACATTCAACATTTTAGTTTTAAAGAATTACTTGAGAATTTTGACGTAATCTATGATCATTGCTAATGCAACCCAGTAAGTAGAAGATGTGTAAATTAGAGGACTAAATTTTTTGTTCAGATTTCTTGAATGAGGCTTTTGTGGGTGCATTGTCATTACATACATGATCTTAATTGCAGCTTGTCAGTATGTTATGTCCATAAAAGCTAAATAATGAATCAGGATGTGTGAATGCTCCCTTTACCTCTTCCTACTTCTCAGCTTATATGGAAGGAATAAAATTGTTGAAACCAATCTGTTTGCATTCTTCTGTAGTTTATCTTGATTTTCTTAGTTTGGTTTGGAATTAGATTAAGAGTCATTGAATGTCTAATATGTGACTTGCCCCCCCACCCCCGTTAAAACTAGTAACAATAGCATGACCAAGCTTCAACAAATATAAACACATCTATCTTTTTTTTTTAAATAACATGGATATACAAGCTATCTTGTCAAGTAAACCAGTGGAATATATTGCTGATGAAAGCACAGTGAATGAGAATTATGGTGGATCATCTCCAGATGTCCTCAGTGCAGCGTCAGAGAATGTTCAGGATGCTAATGAAGAAATGGTAATACGTCCCATATAAACAGGGCCTTTCCATGTATTTCTACTAGGTGGGGCTGTTCAAGTAGTTCATCGGTTGGGAAACCTGAAATATTGCTAGTCTGAAAATAGTGGGGTGGTACAGAATATATGTAAGAGTGGGTGGCATGGCTTGGGCAAGAAAGGGCACCAGACTTGTTTAGTGACTGTTCGCATAGAGGAAGAGTATATGTTGAATAATGATGCCGGTTAGTAGTTTTGAAATTGGCACCCAGCCACAGATACAGTGCACAAATTGTCTTGGAGTCAGTGTTGAAAATACACTGGGGGCAGGTCTCCAGCTACTCATACATTTTGTGACAACCCTCTTAGCTACAGTTTTTAGAAGGCTACAGAGCAAGTGTTTTCTTAAACCGGGGAGGAAGGAGCTAGCTAGAACACAGAGATTTAAGTGTGCATGCACATACCTCTTTCTTCCTGTAATTGAAGCACAGCTTGCAGCAGGGAAATTTCGTTACTGTCTTCCTAATGCATTGTGCTACTGAGTAACTTGTTGAATTAACAGAAAGTGAACATATTTTTCCATATATATTTCAAAGGGAAAACATAGATCACACCAACCATCTTCAAAAGACACCATAAATTTAAATGGTGCTTGCTGGGTTGCTGCCAAAATAGAAGTCCCATGGGTGACTTTCACAGTTATTTTTAGTCATTTAAAAAGGTTTTCTATAAATTGTACAAAGTGAAGCATAATAAAATATCAGTGCTAAAAGATGTCACATTTAGAAACAAAAACAAGCATAAACTTATACTTTCACAGCCATACTGGATAAAGGCTGAAGACTAGAGATACAGATTTAAAAAGCACAGTATTATGTAAATCAATCAGAAGCTTAGGGGAAAAAACCCACACATGAACATATGGAATGCAGCAGCTCGCTGAGCTTCTAGAGTTCTGTAGTTTTAGTCCAGTATTTCCTAACCTGGTGCCCAGACAACTCTTAGCATTCTTGATTATTGGCTATACTGGGAGTTGAAGGCCAAAACATCTGGACATCAGATTGAAGAAGGCTGCTGTGGTCTCATGACAGAGAAGGCACCGTTTCTGATGCTTACAAACAAGTTTGTTTTGGGCAAGACTCCTTCAGCAACACCATTCTCTTGAGTTGGGGAGATGTCCTAAACTGTACTCCCCCTTTCTTCTCACCTTACACATTATAAATAAGAAAGGGGAGGACACCACTCCCTGTATCCTAATAACCTTGTGGTGAGCACAGGATCAGTGGTTTGCTACATTCCTCTGACCTCACCTTTCTCGTCTTCCTCAAATGCTAGCCTTCTTATCATGAAAAAGGGGCACTCTGATCTCAGAGCCATTGACTTCAGAGCCTGGAGGGTGGATGACCTCACCAATTGTCACAATCAGCTGTATCTGACATATCACATAGCTAAGGTAGTTTTGTGACTAGATTGTTCCTTTCTCCCAAAGGTGGTATTCACTGTTTCATTAGGTTAAAGGTAACATGTTACTTTTTTTCCATGTCCTAACTTTTAATTGGAAATGGAGCTTCACTGACTAGATATCTGAACTACTATCTGTTCTGTCTACAATGCATGGCCTCCGCTTGTCTGTGTGCCCCTCAGGCCCAAGGAAAATACACTTTATATCCCCACAGTGGTTTGCCAAGTGGCTTTTGCATGTTGCCCATAATTTTTGCTTACCAGCTTGCATGCATTTTTGCTCCCAAGACTGTCCATAGTCACACATTTAGGCATTCCACTTCCCCAGCTGTACAATCTTGCAACCTGTGCTCAACCTTCAACCTTCACTAAATAACTACCACTTGGACCTCAGAGGTCATAGGCTGCCTTTGGAACAGCAGACCCTCTACTGTCCTGGCATGATATCTCTCCTCCAGTAACTCTTATTTTTGAGTTACCCATCCATATGAATCACAGAGGCCACAAAGGAGGATAGGTCATTTATCTGTAACTCTGGTTCTTCAAGTGGTCATCTCTGAGCTCATAGAACCCATCCTCCTCCCTGCTTCACTGTGTCAGTCTTAATTTTTTCCTCCACTGTCATGGAAACAGAACTGAAAGGCAGATTGAAACCACATTCAGAGCGTTCACATAGGGTTCCTGCCTAAAATTTTGCTCAGCTCTAGAATGTTCTGAATGACTGCTTTGCTCAGGCATATAACCCCTATGTGTGAGTTCACAGAGCATCACTTGAAAAGCCACTGTTGCACACAAGAAACCTATCCTCAGGAGAACCACATGAACCACATACCCAATACTGATAGTCATCCCTCCCCTATTGATCACTAGACAATTGTTCACAAGAATTGACAAAACTTCATTTGCACCAAAGCTAGGTGAAAAGCCAAATTAAAAATGGGCTAGAAATTCAATGTCTTCTAGAAATGCCTGGAGCATGGCCACTGTGCACACATTGATCTTACCATTTATATCCAGGTTAGCAATATGCCAGTAATTCTGTAAACATTGTGATCTGTGAATAGTTTATTCAGAAGTGGCTGAATTACTTCCTTATTAACAACTGACATCCTAAATGTGTGATAGTAATTTGAGAAACTGTTGGAGCCAGCTGCTCCTCTTCTTATCAGCCAAAGAGAAGAGTCAAGAGCACTGTTGGTGGAATTTGCATTATATTGCTGCAGTTCTGGTCTTCCTTAGAAAATTCCAGAAGGTCTGCCGGCTGACTAATGCCTTGACCATTGGTCTTAGAAGATTTTCTCTTGTCATCCTTGTCAGCTAATATACATGAAACCTCTGTGGGAGATCGTTCAGGGATTCAGGGTATGTTAGCATCAATGTATGGATGCCAGTCAACTCTCTCTGTTCCATTGCACTCCAAGGAAGCTCTTGACATTATGGTCTTGTGGTCTTCCCAGAGGCATCTGGTAGGCCAGTGTGTGAACAAAATGCTGTACTAGATAGGCGCTGAGCTGACTGAAGACAGGTTTTGTGCTTGAGATGGTAATAGACTAGATTAGGGTGAACACATTGAAACTTAATCTGGACAAGGTGTGTGCTTCTTCACAGTAGAAAGACCAGTCTGAAAACGGGTTAAACTTGGCTTGGATAGAGTAGCATTCTCTCAAAGATGCAGGTTTGCAATTGACTGTGCTCCTGGATGTGATTTAGAGCCCAGATACCCAGATGATAGCTGTGGCAAAGAACACTTTGCATCCTGAGCATGGCACGCCAGTGACCCCCATTTCCTTAAAATGCCAGTCATAGTGACACATTCATCTGATCCATCCCATTTGGATGACTGTAATGGGATCTTCATGGAGGCATCTTTGAAAAGTGTTTGGGAACTTCAGGCAGTACACAATGCAGCTACCTGACTACTGAACTCTCTTCTAGAGCAGTCTGTCCAGCATTATCACTTGAAGATCTTTTTATTTTGGTAGACCTTTGGCCTACTGAATTTTTTTTACCCCTGCTGCACTTTATTTAGCTGGTTTTATATTTAGGTTTTCATTTTATTTTGACATATATATGTCTTGTTGCTTTATTTGTAATTTTGTGACATTGTGAGATGTCAGATATATCCTGTGGAACAGTAGATATAATTTTGCTAAGTAAATAAATTTATAATAGGCCAGCTTGATTATCCTATCAGCATTCCAAAGGAAAAACAATTTTAACTTAAGCAACTGTGACAGATGCCTTAGATTCAACTAATGCAAGGGTAGATGATTCTGGCTGTCTTCTTGCCATTTTCTAGCACTCCTGGGGGCCACACTCCAGCTGCAATAGTGGCAAGAGATAATATGAACAATTTTATCCTTAGAGGGGGTAGCAAATGTTCCCAGTTGTCTATGGCATCTACATTCACAGGAATTGTTTTTAATTGCATATTATGTTCTGTAGTTTTAACTGAAAGATATTTCATTGGTTCTGTGTAACATTAGCAGAGTTATATTTGGAAAAAAACTGGCAAAGACATCTGAGCTTTTGTATATTATTAACTGCATTTTAATTTTCTTGACAGATGTCTGTTGTAGTTTTTAAAATATTTGGTGTTAATGCGGAAGTTGACATCAGAGGTGATGACACTGAAGTATGTCTTCAGGTAAATCAAGTTGTACCAAGTCAGTTGGGTAATATCAGTGTTCGCCATTACCTTTGCAACCGAACAGCTGGTAAGAATTTATTTAATATAACAAAAATGCTAGTGCTATTTTTGTTAAAATGTACTTGTGAAAATGTTTTTAAGGGTTGTCATTTTTGGTTGTATCCTGAAAATAGGTCACTGCTTTGGACAGTTACAGAGTGGCCTTGTAAATGTTTGTGTGCGTCTTTCTGGTATCATTCTAAAGATCATAACCTGGGTATTCAATAACCAATTTCCTGCTTTGTTCACTGGGGCACTTGCATTCCCTTATGCATTGTTCATATTGTAGGAAACATAGTTTATCACCTATTAAGTAAATTTTGGAGTATTTTTAAAGCAGTGTTGAGGAACCTCTGATTTGTAAGGCCCTCAATCCCCAGAATGTCTCTGATAGACATGTTTGCATACTTGCAAGGGTAGGCTTATGGAAGCAGTTATTGTACAGTTAGCTATTTATTTAGAGAATTTATTTATTTAGAGAATTTCTAGGCCGCCCCATTCGCTGAAGCCTCAGGGCGGCTTACAAATAAATAAATTAAAATACATAGATAGCAATATAAAAGACACTTAACTGTATAAAATAAGAGTTACATTAGAGTTAGCTATGCAACTCTAATGTAATTTTGAATTTCAAAGTTGGACTTTTATATGAACTGCTTACATGTGGGAAAATTTGTCTGGATATATTTAATATCCTGCAAAGTGACTTACATCTGTGGTGGTTTTTATTACAGGTTCAGATCCTAAAACTGTGATTGGGCCGGTTAAATCAACTCCCGAAATTAAACTGAGATGGGAAAATGGACCTAGTGCAATAATACATTCATTGCTGTCTGAAAAAAATGGGTTTCTACAATGTCATGTGGAAGATCTGACTGCCAGTTTTCTAACTTCTTCACTTATGAACATTCAACGTTTCTTGGAAGATGAAATAGTTACAGAAGTAATGCCTATGAAAATAAAAATTTCTAATACAAGGATCAAGTTAAAAGTATGTAATTTTCAAGAGAGTTGAGTGTTGGTACAGGGTATATATTGACATGTACCTGGCTTATAAGAAACTATTAAACTATTAAAAATTAAACTTGTATTAGCAATTCCTATGTTAGGCACTAAGAAAACATTTTTAAAAATTAAATTCTTTAATTTCACACTGTCAGTATTGGAATTAAATTGACTTTATACAGGACTGTTCCAACACTAAATGTGTTTAGTATTTTTTTTTCTTTAGGTATTTGACAATACAGTCAACCTTCCACATTCATGGGGGGTTAGGGGTGCAAGACCCCTGCAAAAATGGAAAGACCATGAATATATCTACCTGCCTTCCAAACTTTAACTCTTAGTAGTATTGACCATACTTGTATGTACTGGTGGCTGCATTACAATTATCTCTTTCACGATTTGAATAGCTTTTACCTTAAAACAAGACCCAGCATCCTGGAACACAGCCTGCTTCAGGGGAACTCATCCTGTGTCACATCAGGAACCTTGCACGTGGCTGCACACCTGGTCCCAAGTCTGGCACCAACCCTGCCCACACTGGGGGACAGTGCACTGTTGTAGGCCAGTGGGGGCCAGGATGGGAAGCATTCCCCATGCGGCTGTCTGTGGAGTTAGTAGGCTGCAGTAGGGCACAATACTATATATGTATATATCTATCCCATTTCATTATTGATGGCAAACTCACGAATAATCAGATCTGTGAAAGTTAAACCCAAGAAAGTTGAGGTTTGACTGCATGTTGATTAGAGGGTAGATAGTTATTATCACCAAAGTGATTATCCATTACTATTTACCATCTAAGCACTAAAAATTCAGATGGATATTTGGAAGTATACTTTCAAGTAAACTCTTTTCGATATAAAGGGTGTTTCTGTGTTGTAAAAGTATAACTCAAGTATACTTTAGGCAAAGCAACTAACAAGTACCGTTTTCAATTGTAGCAGTGTAACCTGTTTGCACACACATTTTATTATTACATATTACTATATTGTGCATTTACCTTCCCTTCTGCTACAGCATACTGTTATCACAAGAGTTACTTTGTTTTGAGTGAACAGCATTGCCCTACAAAGCTTTAGGGCAGGGTAAATGCACAATTTAGCAATGTGTGATATTAAAATTAAAAATCCTATTAAAATAACATATTCAGTTCACACTGATGTATGGTTCAGCATGTTATTTGAACATGACTCTTAAAAGCATGCTTTTTATTTTCCTTGTATACTTGCATATAATATATTGTGAAGCTGATGTGTGAAAGGACAATTGGATGGTGACTTGAAGAGAGAATCATATGATTTGGCTTAAAATTGAGATGTGATTAACTATGGGTTAAGAGACCATCTGAAAAGGTCTCCACCATTGCATTTACATTGGAAACTGTCTTACATTAAGAGTATTGGTCAATCTAGCCCTATATTGTTGACATTTGACTGGAATTTTTCCAGCTCTTCCTGGGGTTGCCTGGAATTGAAACAGGGACATTCTGCATTACTATGAAGTTGTGGCCTTTCTTAAAGACTTGCAGGAAATTCTAACATTCACAGGGCAGAAAGTCTCATCCCGGCAGATTGATCTATCTGAATAGTTTCCTGACTGCTCTTAGGAAAATTCCTGCCACCTCAGATGGCAATTCTTAATCACTACAATAAGAAAATGGCGGACACAGTTGTTCTTGAGTATTCTCTCCCTGTGGGTAGAGCTGAGAAGGCTCCCAGGTTTTCCAGGGAGTTTGGGCATATGAGGAGTATCAAAGGAAGAAAGTTAGGATAAATCCAACCGAGCACAGACAAAAGTCTATGTTAAGACCTATGCTGTGAAAATGATGAAAGCAACAACATTTTCTATGGAGAGCGGTAGAAAACTCCAGTCGAGTTGTGTCAAGTAGCAAATAGTCTGTTACATCAAATGCTAGAAAGAATGAGATCTTGGCAACCTGCTATGACGGTTCTTCTAAACACTTTGCTGATAAAGCTACTTGTATCCAATCCAGTTCAGGAGCTATAGCTGATTTTAGGGGTGTGTTTATGCAACTTGAGACTGTTGGCAAGATCCTTGGTAATGTAAGATCAATCACTTTCAGGTTTGATCCTTGCTTACTCTGGCTGAATGAAGCAGCTGGGGGAGGCTTGGCCAGGTGACTGTTTCCTTTTGGGACAGTGAGTGCTTTCTTCAGGAAAGTAAAATTCTATCCAATATTAAGATGGCAATTGTAAGACTTTGTTGAAAAAGTTATTTCTGGATTCCCCCCAAGTAAATTATTTCTGGGCATTCTTCCACTTACTACTACTGGGCAAGATTTTTGATCATGTGGCATATCCAAGAGTTTTTAAATGAAATGAATTATCTAGACCTGTGTCTATCTTGAAAGATTTTTTGCTTTGGTAGATGATTTGTGCTCAAATCTGGCCAGGGGAACTCTGTCCTGTTTGCTTTTGTTGGGCCTTTTAGTGGTCTTTTAGAGGCTTCTTTTGCTGGCCTCTTGGTGGTATTCAGTAGTATTGATCATAGTATCCTCTAGACTGGCTGGCAGGGGTACTGCGAGTTTAAGCAAATACTGTTTTGTGATTGTTCCTTTGCTTCTTTAAGAATTATATCACAAATGCCACATTGGGAACCTTTTAAAGGCCTCAATGTGTTAGAAACCACCTCCTTCCATTCCATCCCTAAGGTCTGGTTTAAAGCACATTCTGGGCAGGTTTGCCCTACAGGGAAACATAGGCCACTCTAATACTAAAACACCCATCCGCCTATGGTGTTAATCTACCTATGGTATTCATATAAAGTAGGTATCTGAGTGGAATGTACCATGAATGTACTTCATGGAAGTATTTATTTTAAACAAGGTAATTGGAATATTTTGCTTCTCTACCAATTTTAAAAGTGAAGGTATTCAGTGTAAGCAAGAGATTCTTTTTATTCATGGGTCCTTTAACCATTTGTTGCACCTACACCATTAGGACCTTTCTTGTAGTCTTAAAGCATCTCAGGAAGCTTCAACTCTTGTGCACACTGACCTTACCCATAGCATGAAAGTAATCATGGAAGCCCATTTTGGATCTGAGCTAGTATATTTCTTTTATTTTCTAGGATGACAGCCCACGTGATAGTCTAACTGCTCCTGAACCAGTCCCAGTAACACTGCATATTGACCTACTTAATGTAGAGAGGAAAGATGATGGTTCATTTTGCATCAGAGGTTTGTCTGTCTTTAAATCTTAACTCATGTTTAATATTGTTGGTCACACTTGTGAAAGTATTTGTATTCTAAAATGGGTTAAAAACTTGTTAGTAAAAATACAGTGTAATATCATAATGGGACAAGGCTGAAAGGACAAAAGGGAATTGAGTCCAAGATGTTTTCTATGTGATAGAACTTGTGTAAATTATTTTCATGTGTGATTTTTAGATTGTCTGTTTTACTTGAAACGTTTAAACATAGAATATGCTAAAATGCTAAAATATAAGTGTTGCTAAAAAATGGAATTGAAATCCGACACTGGGTCACAGATTGATCAAAGGTGAGTCAAAACAGCAGCTCTATCATGATTCAAATAAATAGAAAGAGACAGTAAGACGTGACTCCCCAGTTGTATGTTTGGCCTAAATGTGGGTCCAGGTCTGATAGACCAAAAGATGATCACCTACATTAGTTTCAATGTAGAATTTGTTAGAATTTCTCTGGGCATATCTTGTCTTACTTTAAAGAAGTCAGAGTGTGGATTGCATTGTTAAAGCTATGTTTGCTGTGGGTATCACCCAATTAAGACTTCATATCTGTCTCACTGGACCTTGGTATGAACATGTGTTCCACTTGTAGGAGATGTATAATCCTGTAAGTGCAAATTTTGGGTATGTGTTTGTGTTTATGTTTATTCCTGCATGTTTCATTGGGTAAAATTATTTGAGTAATTTAATAATGATTTGATTCAAATATTTATTTCATTGCTAAGTTAAAGAATGGTTCAATTTTGTCTCCTTTGTCCATTTTGACATTTGGGGGATTGAGTGAAATGAAAGAGACATTAAAGGAAGAGGGACCATGCTGTATGGATGCAATGGCAGCCTTCCAGTCCTAAAGAAAGCACTGCTGGATAATAGATAACTATACTGGTGATTGGTTCCACTTACATGTGAATGAGTATGGATACTGCTTTAAGAATCTCAGATACAAATTAACCCCTTTTTATGGATATGTTTCTTACACAAGTAATTAGTAACTCATAGACTGGTCATCTAAATATTTTGCAGCATCTAATATACAATATTAATACATAGCAATAGAAATTTGTATGTGTTCACTTCCTTTATGTTCACTGTTTTTCTATTTAATCTCCTTTTTATTAATCAAGGGATACTTTGTATAGTTCAGTGGCTATGTTTGAGATACTCATTTTCATTTTCTGATTTCACTTGATCCAGATAATCGAACATTTAGCAATGATATCCCAAAGATGAAGACAAGTTACAACAAAGGTGATCAGGATGATGAAACAGGCACATGCAAAAAAAAGAATTACCTATCCCAAGCCACACAAACATCTCCAGAAATTAATAGATCTCCTAAAGATTTTAAGACTGAGTTAGTCAAAGCACAGGTAATCATTAATTTACCATGTATGTTTTGTAAAGCTGCCTCTATAAGATAAACATTTAAAATTATAGTATCAAAATTTTTAGAGAGCATCAGATGCAATTGCCTGGATAGTTTTAGTGTTCTTTCTCTTGAGGTCATTGAAAGCGTACAGGGAAATTGTGAAAGCCAATATAAGCTGTTTAGAGTTTGCTGATAAAAGTTAAACATATTTCATTCAAGGGGACAAGGGTGACAATCTCAGTACCCCTATTCCTATGGACCATCAGTCAGAGCAACCAAGGCATTTTCTGTGCTAAACACATGCTAGAATGAGTCCAAATAACTTTCATGTTTTTGTGGTAAGTTACTGCATCCTGAAGAGATGCCTTATATGTATTTTTAAATCAATTACATTAAATAATAAGATTTTTTAATTGGACAAAACTGTGTTCTCAGCTGGAGGGAACCATAGGCAGCTATTACATTGGAAGTCATGGCCCTTCAGTGAGAGATAAAGCTAGTAGGTAATGCATTTATGTAACTCACAGAATACTGATGTAATAATACAGTCAGTTTCACAGCCACCTTTTAAACAAGTTTAAATAGAGAGCTTTGGCTGTTGGGTGGGATAGAAGTTACTTATTTAACTTATGTATACATAAATAAGTTTAAGGATATTAATCTGCTTTCCAAAATGTATTCAGAGAAATAGGAGCATGTTTCATTGCTGTTTAAAGGGCTGGTTGTGGAGCTCTTAACTTTGTCCAGATGCTTATAAAGTATAACTGCAGCTACTACAAGAAGCTATGATTTGACAGCTCCTTTGTAATAGGGTAATACATGCAGACACCTTATCCAGGTTCACACACAACACTAAACCACAGTGAAAACCACCATGGCACGGTCTGTCATGTTGTATAAACTCTTGTGAGGAACTGACTATGTTGTCTTTTTGGTTTCTGTGGTACCATGGAGAGAAGCAATAGTCTGTTGTATGATTTTCGTGCTTCAACATAGCTTGATTGTGTGAACCCAGAAACCATGTTTTTTGCAATTTCTACACTACTCCCATAGAGCCTGATGGAAGGAGCAGCCACTGCTGTCCAGATCTGCCTAGCAATTGATGAGTCACCTCCAGCAGTGCTCTAACTGGCTGCTCTGTATGCCCTCCTGTGTCTAGCTTCTGTGCAGCATTCCAGATGCCCACCTATGGCTTTGGAATGTCACTGGTAGCAGAGAAGTATCCCACACTGTCTCCAGGGGCAACCTTGGAACCAGTCATGTTTGCTGCGCCTGTCTAGTCACTGCAGTTTACACAACCACTGCTTACTAGCTGTACTGCCTTTCATTTTATGGTAGAAGCATAATTCCCATCTCTGCAAAGCTGCCTCTGCACAAGAAGAGCACATGGGCAGTAGCCTATTTTTAGAATGTAACAAAAACAACCCTTAAGGACATTTTCACAAGTATGAAATACAGCTGTTCAGTTGCAAAGGTAATGTCAAACACTGATAGCCTGATCAGGTTCAGCAAATACTGTCACTAAACATGAATGCCAAGCTACTTCTCATCAGCCACATTGGACTGTCCCTGTGGGCTTCCTATGTGCCCCACAGAGATGTGACAGCGGTGGTTGCGGCCATGGTATGGATGCTTGCTCCTGCACCAGCAGTCTTGTGAGTGGCTCTTGGAGCCCCTAGTACATTGCTGAAATGTGCATAGACACATAGGGATATGTCTGCAGTGCCAAGTGTAGTGAACAGCAGAAGTAGTGCACCTGTGTCAAGCAGTTGGAAGTGTAATAGTGTGTGGTGGGGTGTAGGTGATAGTATGTGGGCACAGCTGTAAGGCAGCAGAGATCACATAGCAGCAGCAGAAGTCACTAGATTTATCAATACTTGGTATGCTTTTCTCTCTGACACAGCCACCCTTTCCCTATACCTGAGTCCCTGTGATGCAGCAGAAATAAAGACACTATTTGCAGCAGGGGTGTGGTACTTATGGGGAACATTGGCTGTTGGGATTGGTGGAGAGGGGGTTGATGAGGCCACTCACAACACACCCTAGTGGGGGGGGCAGGGTGAGCCAGCTCTTTGTGTGACAGTGAGTGACAGTAAGGAAAGAGGCTTCTGAGGGTGGGACTGTGAAGCACTGGAGGAAGCCAGCTGCAGCCATGACACATGAGAGGGCAGGGCAGCGCAGGGTCTACTGCACTGATCCCCTCTGTGTGCCTGACTGCAGGGGGAGGCCATCCCTAAAAGTGTGTGTGACTCCTGTGCACAGGGGAGCGTGGACACTTCTGCAGCAAGGAAGGGGTAGGAAAGAGGTGTGGAGGTGGGTAGGTATGCTTATATGTAGGCATAGAGCACAGCAGCACAGAGGAACTGCTCTTGTGAGTAAGCAATTGTTTCAGCTGAGCAGCAAAAAATAAACGAGCAGGTGGCTGAGAAAGCGCCCAGAAGCATCCTGCTAGCAGGCATTTCAAACGGTTTCTGGTGAAACGTGGCTTCCTCAATGCCTACACCTCTGCTTACCGATCTCATACAAGAGCTGCAAAACAACTATGTGATAGTCCTCGATCAGTGCCCAGGCCCTGCTAATAAAATAAGGAGTTAAATAGCTGTGCACTGTAATAATGACAACTGCAACATTATGGTGGAAGTTAATATAGCCTAATTTGAAAAAAACAGTTTAAATGTATATCTTAAACTTTCAGGCAAAGGAGAAATAAATTTTAATTTATTTTTAATTAAAATAATTTCTGTTTAATTTTTGCAATTGTACAAGTTCTTTAGCAGTATTTGTAAAATTTAGCATGAATTTTTTTCTCGTCTCTCTTGAACTGTAATTTTGTGTGTGTTTACTGCAAAGTAAGGGCCACTATATTCAATGGGGCTTATGTCTGGATGAATGTGTATTGGCTGTAGACTTTAAGGCTGTTATTTTTCAAATTATTTTTTCACAATTAACTCTGCACAGGCAAAAAGTTCACAAATTGTGAAAAAGAAGACAAAAGATATGGAGTCCTTTTAAATAATATATATTTTCTGTGTTTTGGGGGAACATTGTTGACTGTAAACTCTTTTTTGAAAGTAGCTAAACAATATATAACAACACTAAAGTCTGAATTTTCTATTTAATTATTCCAGCTTATTGAAGAAAATGAATTTCTTAAACAGGAATTAGCCAAAACTAAGATGGCTCTTGCTGAAGCTCATCTGGAAAAAGACACCCTGCTTCACAGTATAAAAAGGATGGATATTGAAAATAAACGGTAGCAGACTCTGGAACAAGAAGGGATGTATTTTAGACTTATTTTTTTGGAACCCGAGCTCAGAACAAAATTTCTGTGGAATATGCCTTCTGTGAATTCAAAGAATTAGAATGTGTGTTTTTCATGCAGGGACAATTTCTATAATACACTACTAATTTGTTTAATAGGTTGTGGCATGACTAAAATGTACCATGTGTCATTAATAGGTTATCTTCACATGCGAAGATAAATTTATTTTACTGGTAGAAGAAAAATACTATTCAAGAGAGATTAAATTTGCACTATAAATGTATAGTTGGTCATAAAATGGTCCATTATAGTTACTAAAGCATGATGTAGTGATGCAGAGACTGGTTTTAACAAACAGCAGAAGTTGCTTAAGTACCCTCCATTATGCCCAGTTCTCAAAAGGTGTTAATGCTGTGAAACTACTCAAAATATCGCATGGGAAAGGTTTGAATATAGAAAATGGGAACACCCTCTACTTCTGCAGGACCATGCTGACACTTGGTTTCTTTGTATCCACTTCCTGTGCCCATTGCACTTTCAGAACATTGAAACAGCTCAGTCAGCTGGGCCTAGGCTTTTTCATTGGTTTCTAGGAAAAGAGTAATTAAATCAAGGTTCTTTTTCAATGATGAACATTCATCATAGGCACACTCCTTAGTTTGATTTAGTGAAACTTGGCCACTCCTAATCTGGTACCAGTGAAATTTCAATCTTTAACAGTTTGTAAAAAGTGTAATCCAGCTGTATATTAATGTGCTTGGAAAGAAAAGTTAAATAATTATTGCTTGTGAAATTTCATCAAATGTAAAACTACATTTTAAATCATGGGTTACCTGTAAAAAATTAAATTCTAATTTTCAGCTGAAAATGGTTACTAATGTAAAAATAAAAAGCACAGACTTGTGCAAGAGTTCTAAGAAGTTCTTAAAACAAACAAAAACACATGTGGTATGAAAATTCACTTTGAAGTATTTATCTGAATAATTTAGATAAAGACCTTCCTGGGTCATTTAGTTGAAAACATTTTTAATTGGTATTATACTTGTTGTGCCTAAACTGTACAATATTTTAGGGAACAGGGGATTATCTTTTTTTAAAGGTTCAAATAAGAGTCCACATCCTTTTGTTTAGGGTTTAATTGTATGGCACACTGAAGAACTGGGTTGAATTGAACTGATTTTCATTAAAGCTTTCTCTGACAAAACTTGCACTCCCTTAATTAAAAAATGAAGAATTCCGTTGAACTCATGTCAAAAAGAAGATTAAATCAAAATGTCTTAGATTGTTGTCAGTGACCCATCTATTTCATGACCATCACAATACGGAAGACTTTCTTAGTTCTAACTAGTGATGGGTGGGGAATTCAATAGGCCTCCCAGGTTCCAGTTTGTCAACCCTGTGCTGGCACTAACTTGCCATGTTGCAAACTGAGCAAACTCGTATACCTTCATTTCTAAGACAGACTGACGTTTGCATTTTTTGGGCTGCTAGGTAATTTTGTGCAAATAAGCACAAAAGCATAAAATCACAAAGGTCTAGCTACATAGTTTAGGGTGATTATGCAACTATTTAAGAGGTCACAGTCTGCAGTAAAAATAACCTTGACTTGGCTTGTACCTGGACAATCGACCATTGAACTCGAAAGAGCTAGATTTCCTGGTTTTGGTACATTCTTAAGGGCAGCCTTCCCAATCTACAACATATACTGGGGTCATATGGAATTGTAGTCCAACACATCTGAAAGGCTTGAAGTTGAGGAAGTCTGGGAAATTTTGTGTAGTGTTGCCATCTGAAGGAAAACTGAATTTAACATTAAAGCGAAGAATTGTTATGCTAAATTATAGCTCTGGTCACTGATTAAATGGAAAGTTCCTGTTCTTAAAGTTATATATCTTTAATAAAGTTCTCAGATTTTCCAATTATGACTGATGATTGTAAGCTGATCCCCAAAGTTTCAGTTTCCAATGGGATCATGTAGTAGTTTCTTTTCTCCGTGTATTTGATTGCAAATACTGTGCCAAAATTAATTGAACACAACCTTACTGCCTCTAGCAAATCAGCAATATTACTTTCATATCTGTATTGTTCAGTAAGATCTCTGGGAGATTCACAATAATTCATAAACAAAGTAAAATTGAATGGTAATAAAAATACAAATAAAATAACTATAACTGTAACATTCCAATATCCAAAATGTAAAACGATTTCACTATAACCATAACTTTTGACCTGTGAATAGAGGGTAGTCTTAACCTGATGCTGAAAAATGGCAATGTTAGAGGTGGCAGTGAGAGGAATGCCTCAGAAGTAGATCGTATTATCTATGTAGATTGAAGTGAGGAGAGGTATTATGTTAGATATTGAACTTCCAAGCCATATAGGTATTTATATGTTTGAATCAGCACTTTGAATTGGTTCAGAAGCATGCAGGAAGCCCAGTGTAGGTGGGCCAGAATTAGATTTTTCTGGTTCAAGTTAATAATCTGGCTACCACATTTTTTACAAGCTGAAGCTTCTAAACAGGCTTCAAGGGTAGCCCTGTGTAGAGTACATTGCAGTAATCTAATTACAGATCACTACAGCATAGATTAATGAAAGCAGCATGGATTACTATTCCTGTCCAGATGGGGCATAGCTGTGCACACCAGCCAAAATTGGTAGAAGCCACTCCCTACCAGTGAGAACATCTGAGCCTCCAGTGACAAAGATGAATCAAGGATTGTTGCTATGGACCTGCTCCTTCAGGGGGACTGCAACTCTATCCAGAATAGGTTGAATATCTAGAACTATTGCAATGCAGTAGCCCCCACTACCAGCTTGAACAGTTATCCCAGAAGGATACCATGATCAATGGTAATATCTGCCAAGACATCCAGAATAGGGTCACAGAGATTCTATGCTTCTCTCCTGACCCAAGTCCTCATAGAGGGTTACCAAAACTGCTTCCATGCCAAAACCTGTCTTGAAACCCAAATGAAATGCATGTAGATAATCAGTCTCATCCAAAAGTGCATAGATCTGGTTGGCTACCATCCACCCAAGATCCTTGCCCAGGAAGGCCTAAAATTGTTAGAATATTCTAGGTTTAGTGAGAGCTTCTCCAGGAGTGGTCTCATTAGTGTCCCTTTCGCAAGACTGGGGATCATTCCCTCTTGCAAGGAGGTATTAATGACCTCCTTGGCCCAGTCAAATATTCCCTTTGTAATGGTTTTTATAAACCAGTAGGAGGCAAGGATCCACTATGGAAGTGACTGCACAAAGTTGTCATAACACCCTTAAACTGTACCATCTAGAATTTATCCAATAAAACTGGGCCAGGCTCTAGATCACTTGATTCACTATAACACTTCAGTCCTGGAAGATGAAAATATTTTTTTCCTGGAAGTGCCTAAGTACATGTTACAGAAGGGCTTGGATGGGTCTACAGTGTGTTTACAGCCATCATATAGCAGATCCCAGACCAGGCAACCCTAAAAAGCTCCACCAGGTGTCACACAGAAGACTGAATAAAGGCAATGAGGTGTTTTTAATTTGCTACCCTCGTTGTCACTAATTATACTTGATTATAGGCACATACCATGCAGTCTCCTATTTTCATCACTCCCAGTTCTGAGATATTCCTTGGAGCATATGAGCTCTACTTACAGAAAGGGTACATAGGCATTCAGTTCTACTGTAGGCCAACCATTTCATTCTGCTTTGATTAAGAAAATAAATCATTGTGCTAATCCCATATGAGGGAAGGGATCAGAAAAATGCCACATCTGTAAAATAAATTTGAATTTTAGTAAGCAAAACATTTCACAAATCATTTAGTCTAGGAAACTGGGTGTTGGGACAATATATGAGTCTTACTGATCATCATCCCATCCTGTTACCAACAAACAAGGCACACCTAATTGCTCTGAATGCATTTGCTCTTAAGAGTGGGAAGCAAGCATGCCACATATAGGCTATGTTCCTAAATCTCTTCAAAATGTGTTAATTCCTACTCCTGTTAATATTTACTTGCAAAATAATTCACTTTGTTTCAGTACTGTGAGCATACATACTTTTAATTACTGTAAGTGATGCACATTTTGCAAACACAGTACCTAATTGGCATTATGAAAAAAAGGCCAAACGTTTTGGTTTTCATTGTTTCATTAATATACATTAAAGGGGAAGGGGGCATTGCCTCTTGCATATGGATGTTTATTCACTGTAAGGGACATGTAAAAGGATTCCACTTATCTTTCTCATACTGACTTTATCTTTAGCCCTGCAATTAGGATGTAGATCAGAGAGCTCATTTTTAAACAATTTCTTGATCAGTATCCATAAATTCATCACACAAGCAAGGCCCTCATCTAAGTGTAAATATCTAGTCCTTGAATTTTAACACATGGTTGTATACCTAGATATAGTAATTGAAAATTCTATGTTAAACTCTGTCAAAATTCACAAGAGTTGCACTATTCAAATTTCAGCAAGTATAATGAGATAATCAGTAAATGAGATTGAAGGAGGAACTCATTTTGAAATTCTCAGCATTTATTTTTACATTGCATGATTATTAAACTTTTTGAATATCCCAGAGCTCTTGTATCTCTCACTCCATGCATTAATACAGAACATATTTAAAGGACTCATTAGTACAGCAAATAGATTATGTAGCAGATGCCAGATTCCACATTTTGTAAAAGGAAGTTTATACAACATAGTTAATCGACCTATTGCCCTTCTTTCTCTAGTCCAGCCTTCTACAACCTGAAGTCCAACAGATATCTTAAGGTTGAAAAAGCCTGCAATTCATTGGTCTTCAACTGATAGCAAGTGACTCAAGCTAAAGGGCTTTATACCAGTTGCAGCGCTACCATTTTCTCTTTCTAAGGCAGCAAAATAGATCACTTCTCACTTTTTTACTGTTGGACAAGTTTATCTCTGACCCAGCTCACTCCATTTATTACAATAATATTATTGCCCAAACCGAATACAATATTACGAAGAATATCTTGTGAGTAGCAATAATTCCTTATTTCTAACTGAAAATGTTGTATATAGTGCATATTATAACTGCTTTTGTATCTTACGGATGGCAGAACATTGACAATGTGAAAAAAGAACATATTCTCAAAGGTGCCAATAGGGGGAAAAACTTATAGCTTCATTGAAGTCAAAATGTTTTGGAACCAAGAGCTCCTTTGTTGGGTAATCTTATAAAATGCACATTCTGGAACTAAACTAAGTGGTTAGTGGTTGTCTTGGTTACAACCTGTTTCCAGAATATAGGCTTCTCAGGATTGCCCCGATGAAGGAGCTCTTAGTTCCATTGAGTTTATTTTTTTAAGCTGTTTTCTTTGACATCTTTGAAAGTACATTCTCTTTTCTGTTTTGTTTTTTTCTGTTTTTTGCTTAGACACATTGTCAGTCTTAATAGTCAGCTGGTGAAGGCAGCTTCCTAACTCTGTCATTCTAAGCAGATTATTTTCTATCTTATTATTAGCAGATTAGGAGATTATATTCTTCATCTTATTCAGTATCTGTAACTGCAGACATTGGCATAATTTGACTCATGGTGCTATTTTCCAGGATTCAATTTTTGGTATGATGTGCATTATCAGTGTGTATCACAAAAGTTCTAGTGAAAGAAAACTACTGCGTAAAGTTTGTTCATTAACTGAGAAACTCCACTAATTCCTACATCTGAATTTTGCCATTCAAATTGTTTTGGTGCCCTCCAGTTTTAGCTTTTACCAGTTGCTGATATGAATTTGCTCATTCTTCCAATGGTTTAGGGAAGTGGTGGTGAACCTATGGCATGTGTGCCGCAGTGGGCACACAGAGCCCCCTCTGTTGGCACGCGAGCCAAGTGGCCCCAGCAGCTGAGCGTTGGATAACAGCACACACAGAGGCCATGTGCATGTTCGGAAAGGAGCAGTGGCACCAGGTGATGACATCACGAGCTGCGACTCATTAGCCGTGACTCGTCTGAGCTTTTGCATGGCTGGTCAGTGCGCTGCCAAGGATATATATATTGGACTGGCTGTGAGTTTCAATACATTTGTTTCTATTAACACAAGATTTTAGCTTTGAGTTTTCTTTTGAAAAATTGAAATTTAATATCTAAGATTAAGCAAAGAGATGTTCTAATTAAGAGACTGAGATTCTTTTAATGTTGTGCTGTCTCCCTGGCATATTTGAATCTGCAGCATCATATTTAGTTGTTTTTTTCTAAACTAAAACCTCAGTATTCAGGTTTTATTGCAGTGTTGGCACTTTGTGATAAATAAGCGGGGTTTGAATTGCAGGTCACTTGGTCTCTAAAAGGTTCACCATCACTGGTCTAGGGAATTGAAAGGTGCATCTACTCCATCTAGTGAGGAATCTGTGAAATGCTCTCTTGGATTTAGCAATGTGAAGGATGCATAATTGCAATCTCAAGGGTAGACTAGTATAAGTCTTTATCATTGTTTTAGGGATCTGCATTGGCTAAAATGTCCATATTAAAAACACTTCTCTTTCTGAAGAATGATCAGATGCCAAAATCAATAGCGCAAGTCCAAAGGCATTTTAAATATTATATATACAAATAGTCTAGATTGTGACTGGAACCTGCAGCCTGCAATTAATATAGTTTGCTTTTGCCATCCTTATGACGTAATAGCTCAAGAGCCATGCTGGATCAGACCAAGGGTCCATCTTGTCTAGCATTCTGCTCATACAATGGCCAGTCAGCTGCCCCCAGGATTGTATAGATATGTTCCAAACACAACAGTTCTGCCCATGTTCCTAACAACTGGTAAACATAGGAACCAAGGTACCTCTGCTACCCAAAATAGTGACATGAGTTGAGATTCCTCCTTCGAGCAATCACCAGCCATTTTCTTTGCCAAAACAAATCACCCAGAATGGGTGCTTCCAAGTACATTTCACCCAG